ACTCATTATCCAAGCAAGAGTGACGTTAAGTATTCTCTTCCTGCTCTCCGTGCTCCTTATCCAAGGATCTGACGGCAAAGGATTATCATGTCCAATAGGAAGTGTGGTATGTATCGTGGAAATGTACGGCTGCAATGCAGGTTGGTAAATTCAGCTCATGTAGATCCAGTAAACCCTTCGCCGTGTTATCCTGAGAGGAGTAGAGTGAGTAAAACTAAAATCGAGCTGTGCATTAACCAAATGCAGAGCACAGGTGTATAGGTAAAAGGAAAAAGACAACCGCATCAGAGATGATTTGATCCACCCTGAACTGAATCATTATCAATGTGATTGTGTTTAGAGTACATTAGGTATATCATACATTTGCGGCCGCCACCTAGATGCCTAATTACTTAGAACTTATTATCCTATTTTTATGCCAAGAGCGGAAGTGATCGAAATTGGTTCGTTGCTTAACAAACAACGATACACGTGTTCAACGCTGTTTACTCCATAAAAGCCCAGTTACGTTTCTGCAGCATCAAAGTGATCCAACCAGGCATCATAACCTGAATGAAACTTCACAAGGCGATGGAAGCAAGAGTTACGTTCAGTATTCTGTTTCTGCTCTCTGTGCTCCTTATCCAAGGATCTGGCGGCATAGGATTATCATGTCCGGGAGGGAGTGTGGTATGTACGTGAAAATGCACAGCCCCAATGTAGGCTGGTAAATTCATCTCATATAGATCCAGTAAACCCTTTGCCGCGTTATCCTGAGAGTGAGTCAAACTAAAACTGAGCTGCTCATTAACCAAAAACCCTTCAAAGTAATTTAAACTTTGAAAACGGAATGTATTTCTGAATCTGTATGTCATGAAATGTATCTTTCTTCCTTCGTAGTGTAATGGAAAGCTGAGACTTAAGCGCGAAAGGAAGGTCTGCCAGATTGCGCGACGGTTGAATTGTACACAGATGATGCAAGATGAAGAGACAAAAGGGCCAAGCGGCCATCGACTCGGGAGTTACAAATAAATGAGGACGTAGATTAAAACCACGGTGAATCACAGTATATCTGTAAAATAAACTTTGGCTCCATTGTTTTCGTAAATTGAACCTTATCGTAGTTTTACTCAAATTAAACAAGCACTTATCGAGTTTCTTTATTGTGGTTTGTTTTATCTTAGACCTTGTCATCTTACTAGAACTGGACTCACTCCTTGGACAAAGAAAATACAACTCGTTCACCGTTAACAAAAAGGCCACTTGAAAGAACTAATATGAAATTAAAAATAGCTATCTAACTTAAAGACAGCTTTTAAACTGGGCTGCAGCAAAACATGTAAGTCGGGACGCAAAGCGTACCGATTGCACTTCATGAAAACAATTCGGAAACGATAAACAAAATGAAAATGTAAATCGGTTCGAAATTTTAATAAGGGAACAAGGTTTTGCTATTGTTTCTAAGTGGTAATTGTGGGAATCGTGCGAATTGGAAACATTTTGTCGTGTTTTCCGTCGGAAGACGTCGCTTCCATGGAGGGCGCTTCAGACATGGCTTCAATGCTTTCCCGTGGCAATCTTAATCAGAATGTTCTCTGTATATCATGTTTTCCCAAAAGATGTAGGATTTTCATTCAACTCTGCTCACGAGACGAAAAACAACTTTCGTCATATTCTTACCGGGATGATCATCCATCTATTATTCACACTAACCTCACGAAATTGCTCATCTTGATAGTACGCAAGGCGCTTGTCACATTTCAACCTGGTAATTGCTAGACTCACCAGAGAGTTTTTGGTTTCTCAGAGGCAGAGTATATGAGTACGAAACCCGTACGCCTTTTATTCGACTCCTCTCATGGCCTCAGATTGCTTTCTTTGTCCCACGCTCGAAAAAACACAATAAACATTTTTGGTTTTAGCTACTCTTTACATGTTATCTTACCGACTTTTTATGGTGTAATATTACAAACCAGCTGTTTACAGAAAAAAAATTAGTAGTCATTCGTTACGCCAAATATATATATAGCGCGATTCATCACATAAATCGCACTGCGGAAAGCCAATTAGATTGCACGGAACACCTGTGATTTTTGGATGTAACAAAGATGTTTATTACGATGGTTATTACGATAATGTTCATGATAACAACAACGGCAACGATAACCATAATTTGTAGTCACATGCAATAACATCGACACCAAGTAGTCGGGAGATGACGTGCAAAAGACAACTAGAGTGTTTGCTCGAATAACGTACAAAGAAAAACTTCTTATTCCATTGCCAAGATTCGAATCAAAGATCTCCGTTTTACGCGCTCCAATGCTCTGCTACTGAGATAAAGAGAATTAATTATGTGGTAAAAAATTGATTCACTTGTCCTGCATTCTTCTAGGATGTGAAATGTCGTTTGCCCTAGTGTGAGTAAATAGAAAAAGAGAGATGGTAATATTAGAGCCTGGTGATACAATGAATGATTTTTTTTGGTCTCGTGGGCAGAGTTGGCTTAAAATACCAACTCCATTGAAATTATGTTTTAAAATTTAAGGAGAACAATTTGGTTAGTTGTGTCGGAAAAGCACACAAGCCAGGACTCAAGAGTTTGTGTAAGAGAGGACCAGGCAGGTGTGATACATTCGATCTCATCAATTTATCTCAAACTTTTACAGATTGATAGGTTTATAAGGATCCTTCAAGAATGAAGAATAGCTTGGGCTCCCGCTAATCAAAAGGAATTAGATATAACGTAAGAAAATCTAAACTAATTTAGACAGGAAAAAAACATAAGCTTAGTCTATCAATAAATGGTAAATTCTTAAATGAGTTTCTTAATCAATATCTTGAAGTGCGGCTTAACGCTCATCTTTGTTGTAAATTTCATGTTGCACGTATCACTAAAAAAAATAATGTAATAATGGATTAATCTCTAAAATAATATCAGCTGCTAATGCTAATACCCTCTGTAAATGTTTCTTTTCAAGCTAGAGTTGCAAATTCGATTCCCGGGTTGATACACGCGCATGCGATGAACACCAAAGCAATATAGGATCTTTTCTTTCTTTATTCCTTCCCTATTACTTGGGGCGTTATTACATCGAAGGGGTCAAATGAAGTTATTTCGTAAAGAAATCACCTAAGTTTTGTGATCATAGATTAAGAATAAACTCGATTTTGGAAACGAGTCCGTGGCAATTAAAGGAACTAAAAGAAAGGTAAAAATGAGCGACAAATTTCGCTTTAAATAACAACTACGAGCTAGATAACATAATTGCAAAACAAGTTATTGCTTGCCAACTTTCGCGGATCTTGACTACTTTATCGGGGATTACCAGTCTAACTTGTCTTCTATTCAAAAACGATCTTGATCACACGGGGTCTTATCTTGAACTAAAACGCTAACTATAATTTTCTGTCTAAAAAGAACTAATCATGGGGGCGTCAACCTAACCAGTTAACATTTCGCAGCTTTTCTCGGAAGTGGTAACACTTAGCTTCAACGGGAGCAATTACACCTCGTCGAATTATATTACGCTCTTATTTACCCGTTCCTCATTTTTTTCTTTAATAGTGTGGGGTGATACCCGTGGTACCCGTGAGGTCTCAATCCTGTATTTCTTCTTCAAAAGGGTGCTTTTCGTTTCATTCTTGGAATATTCTTGGAATATACTTGCCCTACCTTTAAATTCCTGAAAATCGTGAATTTTTCTTCTCTTGTCCATTTTATTTTATCTTTTTTATGTAAAATTTCCAAATACAGCTTCTTCCCTCCGTTTTCTCCGTCTTACATGAATATGCATACCTATAACATTAGACTGTGGAATAGAAAAATTTGCTCGATAATTAAAATTATTCCTCTAACCTAGTTAGTTTTCTTCCGCCTCACGGCAAGGTCGAACTTCCCGCATCCGCCATATTGCTGGGTGCTCAAAGCACTCTGAGTTACTAAAGAGTCATGGTTGCAGGGCCTCTGTTATCAAATGCCTATCCAGCCATTATCCTGTAAGCAAAGCTATCCCTACTTCCATTAGGCATGATTTATGGTAGCAATTGCCCCCGCAATGATCCGAACACAGACGCGAATCTTTGGAGATGTCTTTCCAACAGCATGGATCCATGCGCGTCGTAAACTGTTGTCTTTTTGGAAGCAAACTTGGAAGCTTACCTGATTACTACACTCGAAAGCTACGCAATGAGCCATTTTCCTGGGGAAAACCCAGGAAAACCCCAAATACGAAATAACGAAGCAAATGTTACATCAATGTAAAATGCCTTGCGCACCTATCAAGATGATAGAGGCGGAAAAATGGAGGAAAGGGGAGAAGCATGAGAGTTGAATGCACATTCGTAAACTCAGACACTATGGCTTGTTTTTTCTTTTCTTTTTTGTTCTTCGTTTTCGTTGATTAATTTGTTTTTTTTCTGTTTCCTGCTGTTTTCCCTTTTCCACAAATGTAAACACACCAATTCCGATTCAGAATAAAATAAATTGACGACGACAAGGGCCCTTCTGGTTGTCTCCAGTTATATCCGTTTTATGATTTTTTCATGAGCTATAAGGTAACTGGCGACTAAGGGACAATAGAGGTAAGATCAGTCTGAAACATTAAATTTGCGAAAGTGATAAATCTCCACTGACGTGGCCTGGGTAGCTTAGTTACTAACATAATTCTACACTGATTGTATGAATAAATGAAAATCATATATATGAACTGGTTATTAAGAAATGAATATGAAAGCGATCTTCACAGTAATGAGCAGTACTCAAGCAGTAGTAACAATAATGCCTGAAAAAAATTCAAGTTCGTACGGCACCGGTGCAATTCTTTACCAACTGAGCTAACAAGTCATCTGAGAGCTAGTCATTATTTTGGTTCGTAGTAAATCTGTGAAGTGATGAATAAATGACTGTGAATAAATAAATAACATATATATGAACCGCGGATTATGAAACGAATACGAAGATCGCCTAAACATTAATTATTTATATTGCTAAAAAAGCGTGTTTTTTCGACGTGTACATGTCACTGAACCAAGATATATCCCATGGCCTTGATGAGTTTATTACCGTTATCTGGTAGGTACACTGCGGAGTTTCCGCATGTATTCGAGTCATTCGGAGTCCCTCCCGTCCCAAAGCCGATTCTGGAATCACAACTGGAGCAAAGATCTTCATTGTTACTCAAGATACCAATTCTAGCTTTGGAAGTTTTACTCCAGCTACAAACAGCGTTGAATCCTTCCTTATCACAATGGTACTGTAAGGAGGCTTGTGAACCAATCAGCAATTTCCACTTCTCACGACCCAGTGATGTGTTGCGATATTGCCCGTCAGCGATCAGTGAGTACAGAGAGTCAGCCTGCCTCTCGATGACAATAAAGTTGAGCTGTTGCCCAATCTTCATACCAAGACAGATCTTCGAAAAGGGTGTGTTCCAGTAGGTCGGTAGCTTGGTCTCTAGTGAATCAAATCTAGTTGCTCCTCCCAAGACGCTGTATTCAATTTTATCCGTCCAGTAGCTTGAGCTGTAGTGAAAGGTGCTCTAAAATAATATTAAAATCATTTTGAGTAAACTTGGTAACTAATGGGAATACTTTTGGAGATGGCGAGGACATCTTCAATCAATCGTTAGTTTAGCACACCCGCTCAGACCTCGTCCGGAATGCATTGATTAAATTCTCACAAATAAACCAATCTTAGAATCACAGCACTACAAGAGAGGCAAAACATAAAGAGCTGCTTTCCATTTTAGGACTTAAAGGTTCTACATGTTTCATGAAGGGCGTGCATTGTCAAGCTGGAGCTACTTTTGAAAATCCTTTATTTTTAAGCCACTTTCGCCACGATTTTTTTGTTTAAAGTCTGAGCTGTCTCGAATGTTTGAGTTCAAATTGTCAAAAAAGAGAATTGATAGGATCCTAACCCACGTTAATCTTGTCTTTCAAAAAATTAACAACTAAGAAAAAACTTTGCAGAGGCCATAACTAACGTTAATAGGGTAATTTCATTTGTTGTCGTGACTCTTTTGGCTGTGTTCCATTTAAATAGCTACAGTTGCCACAGTTCTGGATATTTTATTCTTGCGGTGGACAGCGTACTTGTTTGACACAAAAATGAGCATGCAATTCTTGATTAGCTCTATCTTATCTGGTTTCTCTGGCTCACGTTTTGACTGATCGAACGTTAGTTTCGTTACGCACAAGTAGGATTAAAACCATACCTTGCTGCCGTCAATCTTCATGACTGGCGTCCATGCTCCATCTCCACACCCGAAATCTCCAGTGTGACAGTAAATGGAGATTGCTTTGGAGTCAAAGTGAAGCGTGACCAGTTGATTCAAGTTTAAACTATGCAAAAGACAAGGTACATGTAAACATCCTGGATCAAAAGGAGCTTTCTTCGTTTGCATTTCACATTCTTTTCTTATACTCATACATTCCAGAACTTGCTTGGAGAGTGAGCTGCGTCCCTGAATTTTTACTGATTTTCTTAGGCTTATTAGCCACGATCTTCTTTGCATTTCGGTCTTGTTGTCTTTGGGAACGCAAGTGCAGGCATAGTCACTAAGGACATCAATAACGATAAGGTAAAACTCTCTTTTTGAGAGTAAATGCAAAAATTCCTCTCTGGTAAACATGTATACAAGGTTGGAAATCTATATTAAACAACAAATAAGAATTTAAAAAAATTACAATAATAATAATAATAATAATAAAAAGACTGGCGAGAAGTTAAATTTACTTTTCCCTAGGTGTTTTAATTCTATGTTACAACAAATTTAGGATAGGCAGGGGGGGAGTAGCTAAAATAAAACTCACTTGTAAGCTGCACTGAGCTCCTTGCATGACTTCGCAACTGAAAGTGAAGAAAAAAATTATTGCCCTAGTGGTTTTCTTAGTCATCCTTTTATATATTTGAAATTAAGACATTAACTGCATTTTGAGATTGCAAAGAATTGCCAAATTGTTCGAAATTTATGAAGCCACCAATTTAAATATTGCATAGTAACTGGACTAATCCTTTTTTCGATTTCCCAGCCATTTTTTAAACCATTAAAAACAAAAGCAAGGAAAGATGAAAATTGAAAAGCACTGTTTACTTGTCATTGCCTTTTGTTTTTCGGATTACCAGAGCAGTAGCTGTTCATGAATTTAAGTCCGTACTTGAATCGTAGCACATTTAAGCCAGATATCATAAAAAGCTTGAATGAAGTAGTAATTTCTTATTTATAAATGATAGGATATCAAAATCATCCAGTGTAGGTGACTTTGATATAACTCTTTCTAACTTATATTAAGACTTGTGAAGAGTTTTAAGAGAGCCCCGCAAGTATCCTATTTCTGTTTAGAAACCTCATCGATATTTCTATAGGGATGATCTGATGAAGCACTTTGGTGCAAAGCTTTATAACTAACCTGTATTGCAGTCTTTTCCCACATAACCTTCCTCGCAAAGGCATTCAAATGGATCATTTCCAATGTCATTCAATAGGCAGGTGCCTCTGTTGTGACACCTCGAGGATGGGCAAGTCGACTGAAGTGAAAACAAAGTTAATCAGCTTGGCTGCATGAAAGTAATTTCCGAAAATTTAGCTCTGATGCGATATTTTGTCGTTGAGCCAAGTTACTGCAATATATCACCAAAAGCAAACAATGATTTACTAAGAGCTTTGCGATAAATCGGAAGTATTTAAGAGAAAATCAAATCGCAATGAATCTCGCTTCAAATTTCTTCGAAAATTCGCAGTTTCTTCGATTCTCATCAATTATGTTTTATATTACTACTTTTTTAAATTACCGTTCCCAAAAAATACAGAAAGTCTTATAATGTTTCGATAGCATCTGGAAGAGATGGGTCAAACCTTCTTTGTCTACTGATGTGACATGAAACTGTTTGACTTCGTTATTTCTTGTTTATTTTGGTCCATATTGACGTAAAAGAATCGAGACGTTATCAAAACGCTGTGTTACACTATGATCTTCACCTTAAAATTACAACCGTGCCGTTTAGGCGGTATGCAAATTAAAGACACAAGTATTGTACAATTCGCCATTAGACACCTTTTTCATCAAACCACACTCACAGGAGGGCGACTTTGAAAAGTCTAAGCCATGAACGACTTTTTGTAAAATGATACTAAAAACTCGTTCGTTATGAAATATCACACAAGCAGTACTACCATAATGGAAAAGTGATGCGAACTCTTGTTTTCTTTAAACTCTTTGACATTCCTGTCCTTTACAGACGACAGCAACTCGCACCAAAGGTTTCCATTTGCTTCCTCAGAGGTGGCCATGTTTACTGAAAGACATCTTTGGCTCCTGAGGCATTGAAAAACGCACGCAAGCTCGTCATTTACCGTCGTTGTTCCAAAATGTGGAACATCCAAGTAATGGTACTCGGTTTTTGAAAATAGGCGTTCACAAAAATTATCTGAAGAGAAGATAAGTAAGACAAATATCAAGTTTATGCTATAACTAATCCGAAATCAGTAGTACGATGAGGTTGCTAGTTAGAAAATGTAAGCTTATTGAGGTTATTTGCGTCTGCTTAGGAGAAGAGTATGAGCAAAGAGCTATTTATAACACGCGCCTGGCAATTCCGACTCGTTTTCACTGTGTATGTTATATTTTTGTTTGACCATGATCTGCAGTGTTGCTTCGCTTATGCCTTACATGTATCTGTATAGGATACGATCAAAAGATTAATCATTGTCTTCGGCTTTACTGGTCTAAGGCTATCGTGATCGTGTTTTTCTTCCCTTCCGTTTTAATAAACAATCGTTATTATCACTGACCTGACGAGCAGCTGAAGTTCGCTTTGAAAAATAGAAATACGAAGAAAATATCGAACTTCGCCACCGCGTACATCTTTGAAATCACGATCTTCATAGCCGGTTTTAACGGCAACAGCATCAAGCAAAATAATGACACGATACGATAAAATCCACTTGCGACGAACTCTCAATATGCCAAAAGTAATATTGTGTCATTGTGTTTCTGTAATATTGCTCGAAGCGCTTCAGGAAAAAAAATAATGAAATTTAATTTAATTTAGCTGTAGACCAGGCGGCAAGTCAGTAAGCCAAAAGTAAAGCTGAATAAATAGAAATTGTAGATATGTTCTATTATCTTGATTTATGCACCATTTATCTCAGCTATTTACGACAAAGCAAAAAGATTGATTGTCTTTTGTAATTGAAAATACAGCACTGATATTAGATATAAGATGACAGCTCAAATAAAAAATGATTATCAATTCCCTTACTTTGAATGTTACTCCAGAGTACATGAAAAACATTGGTTTCAAGTTTCCGAATGTTAAGTTTAATTTTAACTATCTATAACGGAACTACAATGTTTATTTGTGCGTTAGTAAAGTGTAAACCGTTTCATTATCATCGAGAAATATCAAAGGCCTTCTTTACAATTCAACTCCCCTTCAAAAACTGATCCGTAAATTCAAAGCCCGCCAAATACCGTCTTTCCAAATCTTTTGTACTGAGTCGATGCTCAAACTTCGAAAAGGTAGACATTATATTCGCAAAAATGAAGAAATAGTGATGGAAGTCGTCGTGGCGGGCAATTTGCATTTGCCAAATTATGCAAAAAAAGAAAAAAAAGGATCTCGTCCTTATCTGACGTATTATTTTATGTGGAAAAAACACCAAAATCACTACAATAAACGACACCATTGTAAAATGTCATACGTCCTCGCCGATTGTGGCAAACAAACGGATTTCAAAGATATATTTTAGAGTCCTTAACAAAGACGTGAGAGTAGATTATAAAAATTGTGCAAACGGAATAAACAACGAAAACGGAATCGCTCGATCAGGATTTAATGAAACAGAAAAGAAACGCGAGTAAGACTAAAAAAGAAATTTATGCAAAGCAGACATGCAGCGGTGTTTGTGGTAACTTTTGTGTGGGAACTCAAAAGTTCAATTGTCAGTTTGTAGTTTTGCCGTTAGAGAGTCAATCTTATCAGTCAGTTGGAGCTTTGATAAAGCATCTTTCGCTTTTGCCAACGTTCTTCCTTGACGAGATAAAATTTCCCCCCTTTTATTTTTCAAAAAAGTACATTGTTATTAAAGCTGATTTTAAGAATGCGATAGTTCAATATGGTTACCTCCATGTGATTTTCTATCTCTTTATCCATTAGGTTTGGTTCGTTAATCATTGACATTCTACGGTCAACGTTATCATATTTCCGTTTTTTGTGTCTCTACCTCTACTTAGTCGTTGCGTTAAACACAATTATATTGATTTTGTAGAGCCATGCCCTCAACAGAATAAGAAAGAGATACGAATTAATCTTTGAAGGACGCTAATAGCTTCTATTGTAATCGTGCAAAATACATTTTCGGCAAAAATGTTTATTATTTCCTCAATGAAAAGATCCTTATCAAAGCACCAGTTTTGAAATAAATAATTCATGTTTATCATTTAGGACCCAAAAGCTCTTAATCTGAGAAATGATGTGGCCACCAGTTTAGACACGCAGCTAGGTGACTACAAAAACCAGTTAATGCATAGGGATTTGCAGCAATTAACCGGTAAAGCCAACAAAAAGCGAAAAAAATAACGAACGTTATAATTTCAACAAGGTTTCCTCGAAAAATCGACCAAAGTTCCACTATGAAACGATGCAGATACTCGGTGTTTATCCTGTTCGGGGCATTTTCTCTCTTGGAAGTTTTCGTTTACGGCAATTTGGCTACAATTCAAGGTAGGTAGTGGTGAACGATATTCTCACGTAACTTTGCAAAAGATAAAAATTTTAAAACCATGTTGGATTTTTCACAGTAGTTCCATTTCGCCTTGAATAAAATTAGGCTAACGCTCGCATCCCAAAATAATTAAATAGATGAGTAATTTTTTTTAGGCAGGGTTCTACAGATATGATGATATGGATACAAACGAAATTTGCCGTTTTGAAGAAATGGTCCTTTTCGACGTTATCGAACAAAATCCAAAATATATCCTTCAGAAAAAAAAATCTTCACTCTACAAGATTGTATCTTCCAGGTTATGCTGCGTGTCAAGCAACTTTCAGTAATTTTTTTTCCTGTATCAGCTTATAATCAAGTCTCCATTTTCATTGAAGCATATATGACATGGGCAACATTAGTATAATTAGCATAATTAGTACACAATTCTGGCATAAATGTCTATATAGCTATTAGTTTGAATTCTCAGGCAAGATAATAATAATAGTAAAAAAAAAAACTTAAAGAAAAACTTCGAAATAAAGAAGTACGGTTACAAATGGACTAGAATTATTGCATTTTGTTGTCGAAAGAGCTCATAGAGCCATGACTTGAGGTTTTAATTCAGGTGTGGGTATCTATTTTGACAGAAATGGGCGTAAAATGTTGAAAGCGGGTTTGTTTTCGCAATGAACAAAATCGTTTAGTACGTTGAGTTCCTTATATCGGTGAAGTCTGTCTCATAAACGTTACCTGGAAGTGTGGGTAGGGGTCCTTCTGTGCGTCACTGTTGGCCAAGGAGGAAGTTATCAGGTCAATAAAAAACAAGTCAAAACCATCCTGTGTCTTTCGATTCCTTCAACTTGAGTTCTCACAGTAGAGGAAAAATTCAGTAGATAATAATGATGCTAATAACGTCTTACTTTTTTTTTTCACAACAGGAGAATGCATTTCGAAGACCAGAGCTCCTCGATCATTTCAACAGGGTCTATTTAAAAAAGAGAAACTCCATTATCTAAATGTGTCTAAACTTAGAACTTTCGCCGTATACGACTTTTTTGACTGCACATTTGAATGCCTTAGTAACCCTTTGTGCCTTTCCATAAACGTAGCTGCACTTCGAGGAGCTGATGGAAAGCTATGGTGCGAGTTACTTTCCTCTGATAAATACAAAGATGCCAGCCAGTACGGCGGAAGCAAGAGTTCGCATCACTTCTCGGTAGGATGCTCCAGGATTCATTTCTTATTTTAGAGTTCTGCTTTCAAAATGAAATTGTTTTTGATTTTGAAGGGAGATGTTTACTTGAGATCTTTCCCTGAAACCTCGGTAAACCGTCTTAATTCTTTGCATTTTTTGGAGCAATTATCTATATCAAATTTCCCTTTCAGTTTCAGTTTCAGTTTTCTTGTTCTTCTGCGCCTTGCCAAAACGGAGGAACATGTCAGGAAAACCATGGAGGGGATGGCTCTAAATGTCTCTGCAATATAGGATTTGTTGGAAAATATTGCGAAAAAGGTAACGAGGATGCTTTTATAATTGAAAATTGAGAAACGTCTCACTTGCATCTGGCTTAGAAGGATACGAAAGTTCTTGCAATTCTCTCTGTATAATAAGATATTTAGAAAGAGATAGAATGGTACGACCGACTTTTTAACTTGTCGCTTCCTTCCCTCATTTTCAGCTTTACAGTCATGCCAAGAAGTGTATGATGCTCAAAGGTAAGAGGAAGGCATTGTGCTGGTTTTTTTTTCATAATTTAGCCTCAGCTGTGTGATATTTTGAGCCTGCTCCTTTTACAATTATTTTCCTCGACCGTTCGACCAAAGAAGCCTAAAATTGAGTTCTGGTGCAACTGCGAAAACTCAGTTGCGAGTATTTATCAATTTTTGAGGTCGTTCTAACTTTTTTTCTTTTTAATAAGGATTGATTGATTAATTGAAGAACTACCTGATTAATATAATAATGAACTTGCAAATACGTTTACGTTAGTCTAGTTATTCAGCAAAAAAAAAAAGAAAAGAAAAAAAAAACTTGTATGCGATATATAGAATATACAATGAAAAATAACAACTCACTCAAACCTTAAATCTCAGCTGTATTCAAGGAAAACCGTTCATTCGCAGGTCAAACGTGAGTCAGTTGGTATCTCTGTGCTTTGGTTCACGTCGACTTCCTATTCTCTGTCAAATGGGAGATTTTGGATGTGGAGATGGAGGGTGGACGCCTGTCATGAAGATCAATGGGAGTAATGTATGATTTAAAATAGTATAAAAAAAATTTGGCTAAAAAAATTTGTTTTTCCAAGGCTGGCGATGAAAAAACGTGGATATTATCTCAGGCAGCATTCACCCAGTATCCTCCAAGCATTAGTAACGTCTGATCAGGCACTTGCTAGTTTATCATCACTGACACATTATTAAGTAACTTAAAAAAATCAATGACCTGGTTTGACTTCCTTCTCGACAAACAGTTGAAGAGGGGAGCTTAGCCTCTTAGCTTGATGCTTCATTATTTACTGATATCATGGTTTTCTCTTAAATGAACACCTTACCTGGATGTTCACTGCATTTGTACTCTTACAGGTATATTCCAAGACTGAAACAAATTGTTACAACATATAGGCACGGTTTTTTCATTCATTAGTTCATTTCTTAATGCTCTCCTGTTTCAGATTTGTCCTTCTTCTTTTTCGTACAGACTACGAGAGACGTCTTAGCTTAGTAGTTAGCGCTCTGAGCACATAATTTATAAGTTTATAAGTGAAGGTTTCAGGACTAGTTCAATCATTTCAATATTTGAAGGCGAGACGCCACATTGCCTCTTTCCAGTAAGGAGTACTATAACTCGGGTACCAGCAAACAACTTGTGAAGCAGACGAATTGCTGGAAGGAGGGGGAACCTGGTATAGACTGACATCTATCCTGGAGGGGTAATGATAATTCGGTGACTTCATGCTGCAAAAGCACAGCAAGGCTAAATTTGTAAGATATGATCTTACATTATCTTCCAGGAAACTTTTGATTATATGTCCAGTTACTGGGAGAATACAAAGGAATATAACATCCAAGGAGGAATGACTGGGTTTGACTCAGAACAGACCAAGTTACCAAGCTACTGGAACACGCCCTTCAACAAGATCTGCCTCGGCATGAGGATCGGTAATCAGACTAAATTTATTGTAATCAACAAGAACGCAAGTTCCCTGTTGTCATTGATTGGTGACGGGCAATACCGAATTCTGTCATTGGGTCGTAATAAATGGAAGACCTTAATTGGTTCACAAGCGTCCCTACAGCATAATTGTAACAAGGAGGGATTTAATGTCAGGTGCAGTAGTGATGCAGGTTCTCGAGCACGAATCGGCATTGTTAGTAACAATGAGCAAAGTTGTTCATCTTGTGACTCCAGGCTCGGATTTGGTTCATGGGGGCAACCTAAAAAATCGAACGCGTGTGGAAATGTAGCCAAGCACGGTGGTGATAACGGCAATCAAAACATAAAAGCAATGGGATATATACTGGTGCAATGACTAAGGAATTTTTAATACAGCTACCACCTCAGCTGCTCTAAGGAACCATTATATGACTTGCGAGGTGCTTTCGAAATATTCAATCGCACCACTTAAAACATGTCCATTTTCTTTTCAAGTAGAAAAGAATAGTCCTAATCGATCGACCTAATGCTCACATGTAGAAAATACGTAGCTGTCAAATAGGGCTAAATAAAACCAAGAGAACGTAACGTAAAAAATGAAAATAAAGTAAACACATTTTCTTAAAACTCAAGATTAATTAGGTGTACTTAAAGGTTTTCTTTTTTCTGTTTCATCTAGCTACAGAAAAAAATCTTTTCCCAGCTTTGATTTTCAATTACGTATGTAGTGTCTCTACAGTCTTTTTTATTTAAATCTTTCTGCAGTAACCTGCAGTTGATATGCATTGGTTTGTTGTCTATCTATGCTGCATGTTGTAAATAGGATAAGGGAGATGGTAAGATTTGAGCTAAGTAAAGAAATTGAAAAAACATGCTTTTCGTTTTGTCAGGAGCGAGGGACAAAGAAAAAATCCTGAGTCCCCGTGAGGAATCAAACCTCAAACATTCGGTCTGAGTACCCATCTGTCTTATTTTATTTTGCAAACACGACGCTATTGATTGGCATTGCTGATCTTAGCAGTACAGTAGAAGTATGTAGGACACGTGTCACGTATGAAATTCGTAATGGCCCTCGCTCACAATAGAGTCTCTGTGGCTAAGTGGTAGAGCATCAGAGTGCGGAATCCACCCGTGACTAGACGAAAAATATCTTTCTCCATCTCGTATGTTGTTTGATAGTTAACATGTTACAGTGTCTCCCTGCAGGAATAGGTCACAGATCACGTCGCAATGCGGTATAGATAGCCGTGTGTGTTGCCAAAGTTCATACCACTTGTCGTCTTGTATGATCTGTTATTGTACAGACTCACGACAACATGGAATCTGTTTGTTTTAAATTATATAACAGAGCAAAATGATGTTGATGGTAAAGTTAACTATGCGTTTGTAAATCATAAGGAAGCACCAATCAAAATGCGTGTGCCATTAAATTTATCATGTGATTAATAATAGATTAAATGTCACCTAGCATATGTTTAGTGATAATGAGATCATAGATGGCATTTTGGTGCACAGCCGAGTGTATCAATGACGTCTTTAACTTAGACCTCGCTGACCTTCTCACACACGCCTGTACCAGTTCAAAGTAAAGTAAAACCAGTTTTTTTAGGCAAGGCTTTTCGTCAGACTGAAGAACGGCCGGTGTTAGCTCGTTTCAATAACCAATTGTTTCCAGGCTACATTTGCTCTCGTTCTTCTTTTTATTCCAATCCTTGTTCACTTTCTCCACAAGCTTTGTGCTATCCCAAAGCACTTTTTAATGACCCTGCGAAGTAGAGGAGGGGTTGGTCTTAGTCCCAGGTGCTAACACTGCCCCGCTCTATAACCAGTTTTGAAGAAAAAACGTCGGGCTTCTTTTTAACATTTTCTTTGTTCGCGCCCTCTGATAGATGGCACGGGTTTACCTCATTTCCTCGAATAAGCACCCACGCTCTAATAGGCACCTTCTCCCAAATAAGCGCCAAACTCATGGACATAATATCAAACTAATGCCCCCCTCATACAACTAAGCGCCTCCTAATTCCCCCCCCCCCCTCCCCTCCACCACCCTTATTCCCTCACTTTCTTTAATAGTAAGGCTACAAGGAAAACCTGCCAATATATTGACAAGTTTTCAAGCTACAACTACAGCTGAATCAGTTCAGGAGAAAATCTCTTCTCTGTTCCAGTCACTTCTATCTCTATGCGCTTGCAGACTTCTTTAATGTTTGTCGCTTGTTCTTTTCATTTTTTCCCTACGACTGCGCTTTCTTAATAAGTGCCCTCTGTTATTGAGCACCTTCCTTGTAATTATTGCCCGCTTCCTATCCTTTAAGCCGACATTTTAAGTAAGCGCCCAGGCGATTATTTGACAACACACCGTGATGCGATATTTTCTTCAGAATAATTAGATTCGGGCAAGATTTAACATTGATTCTGTGTGAAGTCAATCTCCGTTTAAATTTATTCGCTTGTTCTGGATAACTGTATAATAAGCAAATTAAGTATATAGATAGAAGGTATTAAAAACTTTTCTTAACCTTGAGATTTAATGCACAATGACATTTAAGAGGAAGAATTAAAATGTATGCTTTCTAAACTGAGATTTGCCTGGTAGAAAACTTTGAACAGACAGGGTAAACCATGCTTTGGCACTAACTAAAACAGTTCATATACTTTATACGTTCATGTTTATAATTATCGTAGAGTTTGTACATATTTTCAGCATCTTGGAAGAGAATACCGTATTGGTAATTAACGAAATACTCAAAGAATAAGACACTGCCCACCACAACTGTCGCAGACTAATATTGTCAATATATGGAATAAAGTCACCCTTCTTAACTGATTCAGACCCTTGTGGGTAAAACTTTTAAAGAAAACGAGCAAAAAATTAACTCGCGCGAGAAGCTATTGGCTTCTCAGGGGGTAATTTTCCTCTTTACTGTACTAAGATATATCCTACAGCTCTAATGTTTTTGCCACCATTATCCGGGCTGAATTCACCGTTGGCTACGTTTCCACATGTGTTGGTGCTAGAACTTTCCCCCATACCGAAGCCTATCTTAGAGTCTGGCGTTGTGCAGTCATCCTCCTGGTTAGCAAAGATACCAATTCGAATTTTTTGCTCATTATTCTCGCCAGCAGCAACATTAAAACCTTCTTTGTTGCAAGAATGCTGCATAGAAGATTGCGAACCAATTAACCATTTCCAGGTGTTACGTCCGAGTGAGGTGGCGTGGTATTGTCCTTGAGCGATGAGCGAGTGAAACGAACTGGCTTGCTTGTTGATCAAAGTAAATCTTTTCTGAGAGCCTATCTTCATACCGAGACAGATCTTGGTGAAAGGTGTATCCCAATAGGTTGGTAGCTTGGTTTCTTGCGAGTCGAATCCCGTTTGTCCTCCAGCAAGGTTGTAAGGATCTTTATTTGTCCAGTAGTTAGCGTCGTTGTTGAAAGTACTCTGATAGAAATTGGAAATATACCTCTTATTAGTATTTACAACTATACCCAGTTGTTTCAGGGCAAATTCATAACTTATATTAAGCAATGATTTTCTAGGGCCCCGATGATTGTCATACCTTAGCGCCATCAACCTTCATGACAGTAGTCCATCCGCCATTCCCACATCCAAAATTTCCCATATGACAGTAAATGGCAGTTTGCAGTCCATCAATGATCAGTGTTCTAAGCTGACTTGATGAGCTGCAAGATCAAAAATCGCAAAATAAATTAAAATTTCAAAGAATGTAATGTCCAAAAGATAGTAATTTCAGCTACTGTTAGAAAAACTCCATCGATCGCTTCTTAAGGTATCTCTTTCTTTTTTACTTTTTTATTGTTTTTAAACAAGTACCTCCTCATAAACCATAAAGTAAACCATGTGCAAAAAGTAACCGTGACTACTTCAGATAACCTACCCAATCGTGCTGTAGACTTGGTTGCATGACTTCAGAGCTGCGAAGCGTATAGTATTACAACATTAGTTTTATTTGCATGTCGGCTCGAATCAAAAAAAGTAAATAAATAAAAAAAAATTAAGGAGTGATTGCCCGGTCAATCGTCAAATTTTCAAGTGAGAGTTTTGTTCCCAAAGGAGTTCACAAACAGGAGCGAAAGAATGGATGAACGGGCGAACGGGCGAACGGGCGAACGGGCGAACGGGCGAACGGGCGAACGGGCGAACGGGTAACGGGATGAAGCCGCTCTATTTCTATAAAACTCTTACTTCCCCATCCTTATTTTCTCCCACCACCCTTCCCTCCTTACTCTAAACAAAGTCTCCGAAATTAAAACATGGGGCGTAAAAATGATGCTGCCATTTTCTTCATTTTTCTAGAACGATAAAAGGTAATAATATGCAATATCGGAATGTCATGTAGTTTAGCTAATAAGTCTTCCAGTGTGGAAGCCCCAAGAATCAATAAGCCTCTCCCCTTTCCCGTGTGCTTAGTGTTTAATGGACCTATGGCTTGACAACCGTGCATCTCGAATCTAAAATAATGTGTGCAACCAACATTTACCATACCTATTTCGCAGAAGTTTCCTGCGTAACCTGGAGCACAGCTACAGTGATATTGGTTGGTAACGTAATCCGGAACACAAGTTGCTTCGTTTTGACACGGAAAGCTTGAGCATGATGTCTAAAAAAAAAATTTATGAATGTATTTATTGTTAATACGCGGATGCTGGTCAGGCCCTCACTGTCTATCGATTATTGCCGACAGGTATTATTTCTGTAGCCTGAGATGATCAGTAATAGAAACCGACCCCAGTTTTAGTGGACTCCATATAAACAGCACACAATATTCATCACACTTCTACACGAAGAAAGACACTGCGGAAGTGAGGTTTCTAAGCCCAGACAAGTCAGCTCGCTGGCCGCTGGACTAGCTCATCTTTTTCCAAAACCGGCACAAATAAAGGTATCAAATGACAAATTATTTGCTCGATAAACTAATTTCAATTCAACGATTGGAATAAAAATCTTTCAGTTTATTTTGTCTTCATTGCAAAGTGCTGGAATGCCCAAATTAAAAAATCTAAAAAATAAAAAATGAAAATTTTAAAAAATAATACGAAAAGGAAACACAATACAAAATAAAACAAAGAGACAAAACAAAATCCATACACAAGAGGAGCCTTGATGTATTGAGTATATACCGAAATTTGTTCTAGTAAGCGTGACCAATGACACTGTCATGGAATACATTAATAAGTGGGTATTCTTTAGAGTGAATTTCTTTTCTTTTCCTTTTTTGAAACTGTGATAAATTCCTTCGTTGAGTTTGAACCCTATCTTTTTTTAACAGTTTATGTTCATGTTTTAATTAAGTAAACTTGTTTGATAAATGGCGCAGAAGGCGGCATAAAGTAAGTTACTTTGAATAACTTTTGTTGGAGAGTCGTTTTTATTTTTTTTTTCTTTGGGACGAGAGGATGAGAAAAAATATCACAGCTTAAAGAAAAAAAATCAATTCGGCATGAAAAGATGACTATTGAAGCATTACACCATTGAGAGAGCTGCAAACTGTTTTCCCGGTCCTATGGACATCGTGCAGGCAAAACAATTTTGCCTCCGCGAAAAAAAAAATTAGATTTTTGATTTTTAGGCAAATGAACTAAACAAAAATTATATTGAAATTGCATTTATTTGAACGAAAATTTACTCAAAAGGTTTAATGACAGAAAATGTGTTTTTTGATGCTGTTAAACTCTTTTCAAATTAGTAGGTCAGGATTAAAGAAAGTTATGCAATGAGATCACCCCTAACACTGCAAATGAGGTAAAAACAATTATATTGTTATATTTCGAAATACCTTTATACTGTAGTAGTGATATCCCTGTGAGTTAACTAGCTCTTCAGGACTTGCAGTATACTTGTCTTTATTTAACGACTCGCAGAGAAATTTACCATCCAACCGCGGAGAAGAAGCAACGTTAAATGATGAACAATTCGGATCATTCACACAGATCAAAGCGCACTCTTTGTAGTTACTAACAGCAGTCAGTAAATTTGATGCTACCTGAAGACGATGGAATTTGTCGACTGCAAAGTTGCCATAGGATACCTTACTTTGACTGCTGTTCACTGCAATTCCCCGCTTCAAACCACTACTGCCGTTAATTTGAAGGTGGCCCTGGAGCGGCTTTATAAAAAACGCAAAGAAACATGCAAGACTGGATGCAAGGGCTTGCATTCTATGTCTTTAAAGGTTAAGCGATTATCTGCTCAAGAAAACGTTCAGCCGCTTCATCTCCAGTAGTTTTATAATGCTTTATGGCTTAATACTTCTGTTCGTTTTTAAAAAGCACCTGCTTTGTTAACGCTACAAGTAAATTATTTTAAATGAATAGCTGTTATGTGTTTTAACATCGGAGCGTTTAAGTTATCATCAACAACAAAAAAATAAAACTTATTTTTAGTTTTCTGATTGGTCAATTATCACTCGATCTAAATATATTAATTCTCACCCACATATGATTGAAGGGATGGCTTTGTTAATTTATGTTATGTCATTTGGGGTTATCCAAAACCAGGAATAAGCAAATAGCAAATTTATTTTTACAAATTAAATCAAACATGCCTCACTTTCCATTTTGTCAAAATAATGCGTTTATCTCTGGATAAGCTTTGGCAATCAAATGACGAAGGTAACTTCGTTTGTCATGAATGCGAATGGTTAGCACAGGCGCCATAACTATTTTAGGAATACCTCTATGTTTAATTATAAAAAAACCAAACATCGAGACCACCTCCAGGATTTGCTCTGTCTGATTTATACGATAAAGTTAAACAGAAGATTAAGTTTCGCTTGTACAACAAAGAAAATCAATTTTACTTTCCGTATTACTTCAAATCTACTACCTTGTTTAGAGGTTGACTATAGTTGCAGCTCTAAGAAAAAACCAAATAAGAAATTTCTTTTTCAAACACACCTTTTACAGCTGGTTACACTTATCATCTGCAGTGTGGTGAAGATAAAGTTCGCCGATTGCTGCAATGGACGTTATTGCATAACAACTATATCGGCAATAAAATGACCGGCATTCGCCTTAATGTTCTTGTCATCGGCCATTGAACCGATTCTATTTTAGGCGCAATTAGAAACATTTAAAAATGTAAAAGCTTCCCATTTGATAATGAAAGTATCTGAGGCTAGTCGACTATATGAGTCCTCACAATCAATAACTGTCGATAAAACATCGTAGAACATGTCAAAGCACGTAGCTCTCCTTAAGCGAGGCTTTAGAAAAACCTCGACATAAGCTAGTGATGTCCTAGCAAATGTGCGATCATGATTATATCGCATATATATTGGAGACAATTTTTGTAATATTCTTGGAGTGAAAATGTAGATAGATAATGCACTTATCATTTATTTATCGTACAGAAGCAGTCGTAACGCTCGAAAATATATAACAAACATAAGTCGTCAGTATCACGTCTTACAAGGGACATCAATCAATTTAAGCGCTGTAAACAATAGGTTTAAGAGAAACTGCGAATGAATAATGTAAGAATATTATGAAGTTCCAGGATTCCCATGCTGCATGTTGTATAACTTCGAATTCACTTTACCGGCTTTTTTTACGGAATATCGAAGAAGCAAATTTGAACCATGACTCTCAGTGTATCAGAAAGTTCACTTTTTACAGCGTAAACATTTTTTGTCCAATATGGTAAAAGCTAATGGGGAACTCATTGGGCACTTAGATGTATCCCTTAGTTTTGATAAATTTGTCACCGTTATCTGGGCGGGATGTAGCACCGTTTCCACAGCTAATTCTGTCTTCAGGGTGACCCTGCACAGCCGAATCCAATCCTGGAGGTACAAGGATCACAATCACCTTGTTCATTTGAAGCGTTACCGATCCCTTACTCCCGCGCAAACTGGACCATAACTACAACCTGCATTGAATCCTTCGAGCTCCTTGTTGCAGTTTGGCTGTAAAGAGGCCTCGGAGCCGAGCAGCGTTTTCCGGGTTCCACGACCCAGCGAAGTGGCTTGATATTATTCGTCAGCTATCAGTGGTTGCAGCGAAGATGCCTACTTGTTAACGAAAACAAACAAATCGACTCTGTCCTCCTAAACTCATACCGAGACAGATCTTGGTGTCTCTCAGTAGGTCGGTAGCTTGGTTTCTTGTAAGTCAAATCCAGTCTCTCCTTCAACAAGGTTGTATTGATTTTTATCTGACCAATACCTTGAGTTGTAATGGAATGTATTCTGGGTTAAATTAATTGCAAACCTAGTTAGTATCCAGTGTTATCATCAGGCCTAGATATAAATTTAAAGCATTTGGAAGCAAGGACGTGAATGGAATTTGAAATATACGCCTCTTTTTTCCCAGTGAAATTAAATGAAAAACATCTTTGTAATGGGGAAGGCACTCACCCTTAATTATCGTCTTAGTTAAGAAATGAATAATGCTAAAGAGCACAAAGAATCCTTATCATAAACTACAGTGTATACTACCTTATTGCCATCAATCTTCTTGACAGTTGTCCAAACTTCATCACCACATCCAAAATTCCCCATATGACAGTAAACAGAAACTGGCTGCGCATTGATGATAATTGAAGCAATTTTGCCATCTTTATTTGACCTATACGAACCCCAAAACACCAAAACAAGCTTCCCGTGATTTACATTTCTTGGCAGGGACTTTATGATAATTGTTGAAAATTTACTTAGGAACGTAATAGTGTTCAAAATATGACTTGAATGGGTAAAAAGCAAAAACGCTTCCTTGTAAACGTACTCTGAAGGTAATTAGTAATAGTATCATTTAAATTGGCACATGATGCTTTTTTGAGTTCCGTTGTTTTGTTACCCATATCACGATTTCTCTTTATAAGAAAAAAAAGGGAAGTTGTAACTTTAGCTTTTGGTGAATTTTCACTTTATGATAAAAAAAGAGTAAATGTTTGTGGTCGATGAGTTATAGAAAATAATTGATGTGCAGATCTCTTATTTTTCCTGTCTTTTGCCAAATTATTCTTTGTAAACTGCAGTTGTTGAATGTAAGTTAATTGGGATGAATACAGAAAAAAAGGGGATTAAAAAATAGTGACATCAGCTTTAAGGAGTCTCGCTTGTCTTCATCATAGACTTCTTTGCATGACTTCAGTGCTACAAGCAATAGAATATAATGTCATTGTTTAAGCAAGTTTCCCCGGTCTTTGTTTGAGTACATGTAAAAATACCAAACACATTAATCCAAAGTCAGGCGTCTATAAATTTTATACGTAATGTTACTTGAATTTGATTCGAAGACTCACCTTTTTGGCAATGAAGCCCTGCGTATTCCGCTTGACAGCTACAGACATAGCCATTTACTTGGTCTGCACACTCCCTCCGTTCAAACAGGGATTATCAGCGCACTCATCGATATCTGCAGAAAATTTGAACGAAAATTTCGGGAATCTTCACCGAAGAACTGGAATTTTATAGAAAATATTATGTTGGTGATTGTCCAACTGAAGCAAAAGTTGCCTTCATGTTATGGTGAAAATGCCATATCAGGCATTAAAGCAGCCAAGAAATGCTTTAAAAGCTTATGGGAAACGTAAAAGAGTGTAAAGTTTCGAAATTTGAAGCGTGCTATAGGGAGCAATTTTGTTTACAGTATTCAGCTTTCAACGTATTTGTTCAAGCGCGAAACATGCAAGTTTGTGTACACACCATCACATTACCGTGTTTATGTTTCTGCACGTACACACTACCTTTGATAAAGATTTATTATCCGTCAAATCCTGTTTAATTAATTAACGTCGTTTGTAAAGCCTCCTCGCGCGTTCAAATTAAAGTCGGCGCTTGACTATAGCGCGACAGTTTGTCTAGGCAAAGTTGTATATTTCACGTTTGAACAAACACCGAAAAATTAAGCCCTTCACTACGCTTTGTTAGAAAAGGAATCGCTGCAGCAAAACATGTTGATCAAAATAAAGATTCTGATGCTGAAATTTATTATTGACAGTCGGGGAAAAATGAGCCATGACAAAAGCCTACAAATTCACGCTGAAAGCCTAAAAATTATTTTGAACCCTAATCTTTAAAACGGGGAATCTTTAAAAGCGGCGAATCTTTCAAACCGGAAATCTTTTTAAGTGGGAATCTTTAAAACGGGGGAACCTTTAAAAGCGTGAATCTTTAATGTGGGAAATCTTTAAAAGCGGGAATCTTTAAAACGGAGAATCTTTTAAAGCGTGGAATGAAATCGACCAAATGTATGAGCGGTCTGTGGAAAAGTTGCCCTCTTAGGCACGAATTCGTTAAACATTACCATTTTAGAGATTCCCGCTTTTAAAGATTCCCCATTCCCCCTTCTCCATTCTCCATTCTTCATTCTCCATTCCCAATTCTCCTTTCCCCATTTCCCATTTCCCATTCCTCATTCCCCATTCCTCATTCCCCATTCCTCATTCCCCATTCCTCATTCCCCATTCCTCATTCCCCATTCCTCATTCCCCATTCCTCATTCCCCATTCCTCATTCCCCATTCCTCATTCCCCATTCCTCATTCCCCATTCCTCATTCCCCATTCCTCATTCCCCATTCCTCATTCCCCATTCCTCATTCCCCATTTCTCATTCCCCATTTCTCATTCCCCACTCCTCATTCCTTATTTCCCATTCCTCATTCTTCATTACTCATTTCCCATTCCCCATTCCCCATTCCCCATTCTCCCTTCTCCATTCCCCATCCTCCATTCTCCATTCCCCATTCCCCATTCCTCATTTCCCACTCCTCATTCCCCATTCCCAATTCTTCGATTTCCCAAATCTCCAATTTCCCAAATCTCCAATTTCCCAAATCTCCAATTTCCCAAATCTCCAATTTCCCAAATCTCCAATTTCCCAAATCTCCAATTTTCCAATTCTCCAATTTCCCAAATCTCCAATTACCCAGTTCTCCAATTTCCCAAATCTTCAATTTCCCAATTCTCCAATCTCCCAATTCTCCAATTTCCCAATTCTCCAATCTCCCAATCCTCCAATTTCCCAAATCTCCAATTACCCAATTCTTCAATTTCCCAAATCTCCGATTAACCAGATCTCCAATTTCCCAATTCTCCAGTTTCCCAATTCTCCAATTTCTCAATTCTCCAATTTCCAAAATCTTCAATTTCCCAATTCTCCAATCTCCCAATTCTCCAATTTGCCAATTCTCCGATTCCTCAATTCCCCGTTCCTTGTTTTACAGATAGCCCTCTTCAACGTAAAAAAAGCATGGAAAATGTGAAATATGATCGAGCAATGGTCGAAACTTGTTTTGTCGTGACTGCAATGTTTACCTTTCTCATTAATAGAGGTGCTCCCAAAGAGGTAAACTTTTTGGTCTAAACTGACGTGTAAAGGGTTACATTTCAAGATTTCTGGTTAAAGCAATGCCCGTCACGAATATTGGCCATATTTTATTATTACACCTGTTTCACAGCGGTTTCTTCCGTAACCAGGAACACAATCAGAGGGGTATTTGTTGCCAGGGTAACTTGGCACGCATGTCGCATTGTTGTGACGCGTAAACCTTGAACATGCGTCTGTGGAAAAAAAAAAAAAAAAAAGTATCGATGTTATCACTCTCCTAGGAGAAAGCGAGAAAACGAAAGAAACTTTCCATAATTGATAGACCCTGCAGTCAAACCCATCACTGTCATGCACTTAAGGACTTAGCCTGGAGTCCGTCAGTAACTAATAATTACTTATTGACGGATCAACGATCAGTGACGGCAGCTCTGAATCTCCTTCTGAATATATTTTGAAGGTGAAAGCACCCCATCGATACATTTGCAAAACAAGAAGATTGGAATCACTTAGATTATTATTTTTTTAAACAAAGCAAGATTTCGAATCACTATAAATAATCTCTAACTTCTGACCATAGTTCCCGTATGAAGTGCGACCTTCAGATCTTTGTAACTGAATTCCTGTGAGCCACTTCTACCGCCAATTTTAATTTGGGCCTCGAGCTCCTTAGCAATGGCAAGCACCAGAGCGTGATCAAAATAGCAAAACACAGGTAAACATATTTTGTGCAAATAGAGAACCTCACATGTTACTGTTAAGTAAAATGTATATGAAGAACTTTTCATTCAACCTTTTATACCGAGTAGCCTCTTATCGCTTTATCTCAAAATAATTAAATTTCCATGCTTTGAAAATATTAACTAGCCTAAAATCAAGACGATAAAGTGTAGAATTCTATATTCTGATTGGATAACCTATAATTTTGTTAATTAGATTTTGCCTCACAAGATGCCGTCATATGTCATCCCAAACGTTTTATTTACGTATTTGTTAGACGTTATTAAAGGAATGATGACAAAGCAAAGTATACAACCAGAAACTGAATGTTATCATGAGCCGACGGAATAATGAATTTTTACCGGTAGCTTTTCATTTGTATTTTTTATGTATTTTTCAAACATTGGTCCTCACTGAAGATGTTTCCTCGTAAATTTTACATTTCTAATTTACTTGTCAATTCTAACTACCATTTCTATTATACTACAGCACTTTGAAAACTGATTCATAGGTTGATCTTGTGTAACATTGGTTTTTACGCACTACTTTTATGTACATGTTTTACAGGAAAGACCGCTCTGGGTCACATATCAATATTTGTGGATTCCGCTTAAAGAAAATTTTAGAAAGTTTTTATTCTTCGTGATGTTTAAAATGAGATAAAATAACACTAATATAATTTATGTTGATTTTAGACCGGTGGACGAAATACATTCAAATATACATCATTTTGAGCCCACGATTGAAATCGACATCGTTTTGTATGTTCGAGCTTTTTTCTTTTTCAACGCTCTGCAACAAACAATCGAACTTGACACTCTTTCTCTGTTAGGTATTGGTCAGCATTAACCATTACAGTATACGAAAGTCTATCAGGCTCGTAATCGTCCCCGTCTTTCCTAAGAGGGCCTCCGGTCCTTGCGATTCAATACTTTTGGACTTTTAACCAATTGTTTATGCTGTGTTGGGTATTTTGTTCTGAGAATTCTAACTCGAACTCTCGATGAAAACAGTTGCTTCTTTCAGCCTGTCCGCCATTTTGTTTTGTTGTGATTTCACGACTTTCCTGCCAGTCAATCTAATATCAACTTTATGTTTTAAGTCCTGATTTCAATTTCAATGTTTTCCTCTGAATTATCACTTTCTGCCCTGTTTGGAATTAATTGCGTGTAATCAGTCTATGAGTATGCTGAGTTTTCTCCTAGAATATTACTAAGATGATTAACGTTTGAATTTTTTTGTCCCAACACATAAATTATTCATTTGTATTCACAGAACCTGCTAAAGACGGTAATGACAGGTGCGGCAAAGTGTTCAGGAGCTAAAACAACCACTGGCGACAAATATACATTTTGCCTACGGTCATGAAAGCATTATCAGTCATAACTGTCATCAAATTGATTTCTTTTCACTTAAGCCTTTGGCTTTTAATTTCAAGCAGAGTGATTTGTTACACAGGTAAGAGGCTTGCTTTCTCTATTTATTTTTCAGCGGCACCCTGATTATCTAAATTTCCCTGCATTATGTGAGCAATTATCCAAATTTCCATTTGTTTTCTGAGTAGGTAAAGTTACCGTGTCCATAAAAAAAAAAACGATTTCAACTACATTTTGAAATGACTCAGTACTCATTGAAATTTTTTTTAGGGCCAGTCGATATCCTTAGATTGATTATTTACGGGAAAGTGATATTAACCAAAACGACGGCGAGGACGAGAGCCTTGAAATCAATAATCGACCAAAGTACACATAGCGTAGTGTCAAATTCGTAGAATTTATGAAGAAAATTGTCGTTACTTTCACTGTTATCCATCGGATCTCTGGTTGAACTTAGGCTGCATTAGGTAGATAAAGCCTTTTCAGGTAATATTTTGGACAATTATTTATTTCGGTTTCGGTGATATTCAGAATAATCAAGGTCGAGGTGGGGGTTATCCGCTGAAGCCGAAGCCGTCATATAATAACCCTCACCGAGACCTTGATTTTTCTAGATATCACAAAAACCGAATCTAATTATTGTTTTATGATATATTGAACGAAAAAATATGGTCACGACAATAAGTGGAACTGATAATGTATTTCTAAATATTAAAAATATAAACATCAGGAAGCAACATAAAGCGCGCAAACTGCTAAGTGCAAAGCGCGGGAAAGAAGGTTTGTAGAGCTGATTGGAGGTATTTTATTTTATTCGAAATAAAAAAAGAAAAAAAGAAAAAAGAAATTGTTCGAATTTCATCACACGTACCTTACTACTTGAGAATAACTAATTAAGTTAGTACAAGTCTGTAGCCTGAGCAATCACTGTTTTTTAGTTATATTCAGAATTTTCCAATAATATATACATATATATATATTTTTTTATTATTATTTTTTTATTAATGTGACTACCTTCACTTTAAAATTCATCAGGTTTCACAAACATCATTCACACTTTCACGAGACACTGGCACCATTACTTAAATGTGACAAAACTTGGAACGTTCGTAGTAAAAGATTCCTTTAATTGTGCGTTTGAATGTCTACGACTTCCTTCGTGTGTATCTGTGAATCTGGCTTCTAGCGAAGGGTTTGATGGGAAACTTTGGTGTGAAGCACTGTCCTCTGATAAGTATAGAAACAAAGCAGATTTCCGCGGAAGCGAAAGTTCGCATCACTTTTCCATCAAGGTATAGTTTCATTTACATAATTCTTTTGCTAGAGGTCTTTTTATCATATCTTGAATTTGCATGTAATATCTTGTATTTGCATGTAATATCTTGTATTTGCATGTAATATCTTGTATTTGCATGTAATATCTTGTATTTGCATGTAATATCTTGTATTTGCATGTAATATCTTGTATTTGCATGTAATATCTTGTATTTGCATGTAATATCTTGTATTTGCATGTAATATCTTGTATTTGCATGTAATATCTTGTATTTGCATGTAATATCTTGTATTTGTATGTATAATGCATTCACTGTTCCCTAGATATGCGATTCGACATATTTCTTCTGATCGATGTCTGTTAATCGCATCTTGCATTTACATGTAGAGTACATTCACGGTGGCTTTGGAATTCGGCTCTCTGTCACCGGCTATGAATTCGATTCACTGGGTAAGAAGTGGTCAAAACATGGCGTTAAAGAGTCAATTCCTATGCAAAACCTCTTTTTTCTTATTGAAACACGATTTCTGATTTGTAGCTGTCGATTTCCGTTTGCAGTGAAACGACCCTTCAAAAACGAAATATATATGATAAATATTTCTCGCGCAGGATTGGCATCATCATAATTATTCTTACCACCTTTGTATCTATCTAATCGTTTATTTTTCATCCATTTTAATTCCTTCGTACACTAGTCACCTTGTTCTTCTTCTCCTTGTCAAAACGGTGGTACCTGTTTTGCAAACTATCGAAGGGACTCATTTGAATGTATCTGTGAGGAAGGTTTTATCGGAAGATTTTGCGAAACAGGTAGGCATAAACAATTTAACATATCGTGGTCAATAGAAATGTGTCACTCATTATTACTACAATGATAGTAATAATAATGATAATAATAATAATGATAATAATAATAACTTTTGTTATTATTGTAATTATTTTTATCATCATCATTGCCACCATTGCTGTGCAGTTTAAGTAAGTTTGGAATTTGACCGTGCTAAACGTTCAATGGCTTTCTGATCAACCAGTTGAAGACTTCCTCTGATCTGTTAAGAGAAAACAAGAACGACAAACATTTTTCACGGTGAGCTAGCTTCAAAAAACAATCACAGCAGTTTCCCTAATTTATTTCATTCTTTCCTTACTGTGTACATTGAATAAAAGTCCTAAATAGAGAAACAAATATGTATTGGTTTTCGAAGCTTGAAGAAGAAGGCGCTAGGTTAAGACAATTTTTCATTTCTGAGCAAATGATCGATTAGTGGGCTGTGAGTACCTTTGGGCGTTGTAATTATATCGATTTCAGAAAAATTTCAATTAAGCTTGATGATGGTTAAGAATATATGAAAGTCATATATTTAGCTTAAGGAGTTGAATAAAATGGGGATAATAAAATGATAGAAATTACAAAGTATAAATAACTGAAAAATAAATGAAAAATAATTCTTACATTTAAGATGATTTGATATAACATCGTAACATTCCCTTTTTTAGGTGCGAGGTCATGCAAGGAGATCTATGAATCGAACTTGTAAGTCTTGGAGTTTTCTTTTACTACCACGGATTCATATTTTATGGAAGACAATAGAGTTAAGATGGAGCTCAATAAGGTTTATGCAAGATTTAGGCTAATTTGTGTACGAAAAAAAGTTAAAATCAGTTGCTATTACACCAAAAAAATTCCGCTTCTGTTTACCCCTTAGGACTTTTTCTTTATTACAATCCCGATTAAGTCATACCTCTCTGCAGTCTTCGCTCAATAAAATATAATTTCAACTAATGCTGACATCATACACTTCATCTTAAGAAGAAAATATTCCCTATTGTCGGAAATTTGCTTAAAACATCAGGAACAACAACGAAGGTCATCGGCTGCTTGAAAATACTGCTGATTGGCATGCGTGTTGATTGCTTTGCAAATTATGAGAACATCGTGCCCCTCCCCCACATCCAGAATGGTCCCTTAATCCCCTTGCAGAAACTCTTCGACAGCCAGTGCTTAAGAGCTTTATTGCATTTTTTATTATAATGAAGAGTTGGAAAGTTAACTGGCAAGAGCTTCGCTTTTAGGCTTGTTTAATCTATATATTGCATCTATGCAGTCTTCGGTCTCTTACCGGCAGCCATTTCTACTAAAACGAATCAATCTAAGTCTGTTTCAAGACCACTCCATTTGACTCATAATGAATAAATTATGTTAAGCTGTTTATTTTACTTGTGTGACGGGTTGCTGGGCAAATGAGGAGAAGCCGCGTTTTGGAGAAGTACTTTGGGTGGAAATTTGCTTTCTATTTTTAGGGGGCTATACATTCCTTCACTTTAGAAAGGAGACCAGTTTCTAATTTCGAGGGCTTTTTCTGGGAAAAACATAATCGAACAAAATAATAACAGCGAAAATGAATTGCCCACTACTACAATATTTTTGTACATTAACTATATATCCAGTGCACACAGAGCAAATACTAGAGTTTAGTCATTGTGATTTTTATGACAGGTTTAACACAAGTCAGTCTGCGACCCTCCGTTTTGACTTATCTCCAATTTCTGTTTATTGTCATGTGGGAGATTTGGGGTGTGGAAACGGGGCATGGACAACTGTTATGAAGATTGATGGTACCAAGGTATCATTTGTATTCAATTTGAGCCATTAGTTTATCTCTAGTAGAAATCGTTCTGAGCACTGTTCTCACCAGTTTAAGCGTTATTTCAAAGCGATTTTCCTGTTTGCGAGAATGGAGCCAAATATCAGCTGTTAACACTTGTTTTTCCTTCTTTGCTTTCTTCCAAAACCAAATTAATAATAACGGTAACTTTCACGATAACGATAATGATGAAAATGAAAGATGTTGCTGTTCAATGAATGGCACCGATATACCCGAGGAGAGAAAAATCTGATTGCTCCTTATCCTAACAGGAGTAAATCCTATGCCCTTTTGATTACTTCGGATGCTCTACCACTGAGCTATAGGAAACTCGCGGTAGGCTGGGCCATGTAACAAGATCCTTAGTTACGATGAAAATGTTGGTTAGTAGAATGTGATGTGGCTAGTGATGCAGACTTATATCCATTTGTATGATATATTTCAATCATAGTTTTCCATCTGCTTCATTATTTTACGAAAATGCTGTCTTTTCTCTCAGAGAACCTTCCATTATAATTCTACATACTGGAGTGATGAACGCGATTTCAATACCCCCGGTGGAAACACTGGATTTGATTCCGAAGAAACCAAACTGCCAACCTACTGGAGGACGCCATTCACCAAGATCTGTCTCGGTATGAAGATCGACCAAAAAGTCAACTTCATTGTAATCAATCATCATTCCAGTTCTCTGTTCTCACTGATTGCGGATGGGCAATACCGTGCCACGTCACTTGGCCGTGACACGTGGAAAACACTGATTGGTTCTCAGGCATCCTTACAGAATAACTGCAATATCGAAGGGTTTAATGCTATTGGTGGCTCTGCATCTCATTCTAAAGCAAGGATTGGTTACATTGCAAATGAGCAAAACGATTGCAGCTCATGTGACTCTAGAATAGGTATTGGGACTGGGGGATACTCGGATGACGGTAATACTTGTGGTAATAGGGCCTCCCACAACCCAGACAACGGGGTAAAATCTATTAAGGTCATGGGCTACATCTTAGTGCAATAAATGGTGGGTTTATCCCCAAAAATACCTTAGGATCACACATGGTAAAGTCTCTTTCAATTTATTTTTCAGTAATGTTATCTTCTCCTATTATCATTACGATTTGCATCGCCATTATTGATCGAATTTGCATTACTAAAGTTAGTTAACGTTTGTCTTATTTTTGTCTTATTTTTGACGGGCGCCGGAATCCCGGTGTTTAGGTCTGGCCAAAGTCCCTCGCAAAGCGCTACGAGCTAGACGGATATGGCGCTATAAAAATCCTTCATTTTTATTGTTATTATTATTATCATTATTATCATTATTATCATTATTATTATTATTATTATTATTATTATAAGATAACAGCAGTATATCATTCTAATGTTCGTAGCACTGGGACAATACACTAGGCGACGTAATTGACGGCATATGAGTATGTCTTCCTCTTCGCTTGTGCGTTTCTGTAGTTTTAGCAAGCAGATCAGGAGTTTGAAAGTTATGATGCCAAAATTACAAAGAACAATATGAGTCGAGTGATAATAAGGGTAGTTAAAAAAAGGGGGAAGTTGGGGGTCTTTAAGAAAAATATTTCGTTGCACAAACCTAAAAAACGTATATCACTCAGTTTCAAATCCTTCCTAACGTCTTCTGTCTGTGATTTTAGCAACGCAACTAAAAAAAAAAAGGACATGCATTTATTATTACATAATAAATACGTGACTTGATAAAATGTTCTGCAAAGTTCTACGGTATGCAAGTCAGCATGACTCAGCAGTCTGGAAATTTCGAGAATCAACAACAATTACCCCTAACACTATAAATATGATTCTTTTCAATTTGCAGTCATAGCAAGCTCAATTCTTTTTAGTCATTTTTCGACTGGTTTGTTTTTTTTCTGTTGGGATTCTCATATTGTCCTCGCGTATTTTATCTATATTTTCCATGATCATCAATTTGGGAGGGAATAGTAAACTTAAAATCATTTTAATAAAGAGGGTACGTTTCTAAAAAAAACCATCAAATGGTTAAACTCTCTAGGGGGCTAATTTATGTTATAAACTCAGTTTCTAATGCTAAATAACCCTGTTAAATCATTTGACTTGGTAGCTCTTCAAGACACGAAATTTATTTGTTAAGGAACTTAGATAGCCATTTTGTTTGAAACATCGATGGGAGCCTTTATCGGGGATTAATGCTATTGATATTGTATATTATCAACCACAGAAATGCATACTAGCTGTATAGGGCATTGATTAAAATGGACGCTTATTCAGAATACAGCGAATGAATAACATAGAAGCCCTCTCTCCTCCATAAGCCCCTAATTTCAGTAGCCCCCACCCCTCTCCTGCTTGGAAGTCCTATGATAACAACATTAACAAAAACAATACTGATAAAAAAACAAAAAACCAAAACAAACCCTTCAATGTTATGAATAGTAATGATATGACTTACAAGCTTTAGCTCAGCAATGAGGCAAAAGAGTGAACTTCTTAGCAATTTTGAAAAAAATGTTAAAACAAAATTTGACGCCTTACAACCGCACATTGCTTATCAAATAAATTGACCAAACTCTTTAGAAACACTTTTCTGCGCAACGCGGCCTTAAAAGATGACAAATTTAATTACGCTTGGCTAAATGGATTCCTTTGAAATTTTGATTTCAAAGCTATGATATTTATGCTTTAGAATAAAAAAAAAAAAAAAAGGATGTATCCTACCTCCTTGGATGTCAACAACAAGGGCTGTTTTATCAATTTCATGACCTCTAACGAAGTTAATTGATTTTTTCGGCGAGCTGACAAGAGCTATGTGCATGTACTCCTACGGAAAAGTTTTGTTGTTAGCATCAAGTAACAAATCAACAAGGCAAGGATTAGAGAAGACATACATTTTGTAACTTACGAAAAACTGATATCACAAGTAATGTTGTCTTTTGTCAGCTGCCTACTAATTTTCCACGGACTTTCCGGAAGGATATCCGAAACATCCTGTGCTAGAGGTAAGATTTAAGTATAATCTTCGGCAACAAAATTATTACTGCGTTTATTCTAGGTTAAGTTAGGTTAAGTCAGGTTAATAAGATGGTGAACAAAAAATTCAAGGACTCTTTGACGAGAACTTTTTTATTCAGGTTCTGTCTGGTATTTTGTTAGCAACATACTCATGATGAACTCGGCGGATTTTTTTTTTTTTGTTCTTTTTTAAATTTATTTTCAAGTGCGATACTCAAAAGGATATCCTCTACCCGAAAATTTTGATGCGGTAGCCTGATCTTCACTGAAGCACCCGCAGTTTGATTCGCTAAATAAAGATTTCATGTCCGTTATTGAATGTCTCACCTTGATATTCTAATGTATTATGAAATAGGCAAACGGTATCCAGCAAAGCCTTTATTGAGCGAGGAGGCAAAGACATTTACACTCAAGTCACTATTTATATAAACATTTATACGGTCGATCTGTACTGATCTGATCTCTCAATCGAACATTGAGAAATATGAAGTTTTAGTATGATGTACCCGAGTCGATTATGATCAAATCTTGAGGTTTAATAAAAAACATATAGACATATTAATATTAACAATCCCTATTCAAAAAAAAAGAGAAAAAAATTCCGAAATTGCTCCCTGTGTTAAATAGATTAGGTTTGCAATAAAATTTGGAGTAGGCAAAGATAACTGACTAGGTTGAATAGATGCCTTTTTTTTTAATTTTTCCTTCGGCTTTTGCTGTGGTGTAATTGTGCCATGAAACTCGACCAATAAGATATCGCATATCTTTATAAATACACCAGCTTTTGTGATGAAGTTTGAGCAATTTTTGAAATTAGAATACTTTAACGTAGAAATACAAAACGGTAATCCCTTTATCGCATAATTGGAATTTAGAGAGCTGGAGAGGAAAACTTTCATCGTGCTCACGACAAAGTTGTTGTAACGTCTCATTTTTATTTAATCTGTAAGAGTTATACGAGTGGAGGGGTGGATGGGGGGGTTAGGGGGAGGGAAGGTGGATGTGTGAGTAAACTCAAAACCTGTTATTTTTTTCACTTTTAATTCAATGAATCAGATGCAGCTCTCACATCGTTTTCTTCTTGTTTCTGTGTAGTTGTGACAGATTTATCTCATGCCTTTGTTAAAGACAAGTTCCATTACCTGAATGTTAACAAGATTGGGACGTTTTTGGTGACGGACGTGTTTGACTGTACGTTTAATTGTCTTCGTCTACCGTCATGCGTTTCTGTAAACTTGGCGAGCAACACAGGAGCCGATGGAACTATTTGGTGCGAGTTGCTGTCTTCTGATAAATACCAAAACTCCCAGAAGTTCGAAGGAAACCAGACTTCTCATCATTTACTCCGAAAGGTAAACTTTTGAAAAAAACAGCGAAAATAACATAATAACGGCATAAAACATAGAAAAAATAATGATAAAAAAGATAATTAAAAAACAGACAAGGGAAAACAAACCAAAAATACAAAACAAAACAAAACAAAAAACAAAAACAAAAACAAAAAAACCAGGAAGATAAAAAATATAAATTCTGAATTTGCTTGTATCTGAGTATTTATCAGTGAATCATCCGATAAAAATGATGTTTTTGTTTTAATCATGAACAGAGTAATAACGACGAAAACAACAAAATACACGCCTAGGTAACAAAATGAATTGAGAAAATGAATAAAAATAAGCAAACAGAAGGAAAAAAAACAAACAATACCGAAATAAAAATAAAAAAAAAACAAGATATCAAAAGAGAGAAAAACCTGAACAAAATGATTTTAATTTTTGGTTCAGGTCTACTCAACTCTTACTTTGGTTTGATTTCTTTTGCGTTCCTTTTTTTATCTTTTAATTTGTTCTGTGTTTTTTCCTTTTGCTAACCAGAAAGGCCAAGCAATCAAAATATTTTCAATTTGTTCTGATAAAAAATGGATTTGACTTTCTCACATGCGTTTCTTACATTGATGTCATAAATATTCAAATCCACCGAAAAGAATTTCAAAGCTGACTTTCGAGTGTTAGCCCTTTGTCTGTTGGCCCTTCGCTGTGACGAAGGGCTAACGTTCGAAACGTCAGCTTTAAAATGTTCTTGCGGCCAATTTACGTTATAAACTCAGTTGATAAAATCAAATTACCTGAGAATAAAACAACTTATTGCTTTGTTATTTCAGTCGCAATGTATTTCTACGCCGTGTCAAAATGGTGGTACATGTCTGGCAAATTATCAGGACGACACGTTCACATGTCTTTGTAAAAACGATTATATTGGACAACACTGTGAAAAAGGTAATGATTTAAAATGGAAAATTTTTCTCCTTTTTACATATGCTGTTTTAAACCTAGGGCAAACATATTATCATAACACGATCCAGGTATTTGTTTTCGTTCCCTAAGCTGACCGCCGTGTTGCAAACTAGTTTCCCTTATCTTGTTAGAAAAGTAAAAGTTATGGTATGTGTGACGTCAATCACTTTGCTGAACATAATCGAAGCACAAACCGCACTTTTCACTGTCATTCTGCGCAAAGTCTAACTTAAAGCACTAATTGCTTCCAACGACTGACTCTGGAAAGCTGGCTCTATAACTTAGTACAGACTTCCGTCAACAGATTTTAACAACTGCTAGTGCCATGCCAACGACCTACTCCCGACATATACACAACAAACGACAGAGCAGAACGACCTAACATTACCTACGTGTCGATGCTACGCCACTTGAGTCTTACAGTCAATAACAGTGGGGCTTTCTCCTTATATCGTTTCTTTTTCTGCTGAATTTCAGGTGCAACATCGTGCAAAGAACTATTTGAGGCATACAAGTGAGTCAATTTCTGCGAAGAGGTTTTTTTTCCCTCCTAAAAGAGTTTTTCATTACATGAAATAAAGAGTTGGTCCATGCTTAAAGCTATGGATGCACGTGAGATGTTTGGAGAGCATGAGAGAAGCAAAAGAGTTGCTCGAGCCGCAGCCGTGAGTAACTCCAGTGCATCCAGAGCTCAATTTACGCACAGCTAAACCATGAACCAATTCTTTTAAAACACAGCATGCAGACATAAGTTTTGCTGGAAAATAAGAGTTTTTTATTACAACAGTGTCGGGTTTCCGAGGTGATCGTATTCTACCCGAAACGTACGAATTGAGGAAAAAGCAAAAACAACCAAGAAATATTTCGAGACCAAATCTTTATTACAAGAATCATTCTTTCATTTTTTCATTCTACTCAGAAGCGAAGTAGCTACATGCTCATTGTTGTTATGGATGCACGGCGGTGCGTACATATGAATTTTTACCAAGATAGCTGCTTAGGAATTAGGCAGGACTTGCGCGGGCGCAGTGTCATAACACCAAATGTCACTGCCTTTAGGATCGCTTATCATAAGTTGTTGCATTTAAGGCATACTTAGATAATAAAATAACGCTTAAAACTTATCTTGAACCTGTCCTCTAGTTTCAACACAGCTCGACTAGCCAAACTCCGCTTTGGCTCAACATCAGTCTCTGTTTACTGCCACATGGGGAATTTTGGGTGTGGTGATGGGGTATGGACAACTGTCATGAAGATTGACGGCAACAAGGTAGGATAGATCGTCACATCTCTTGCTGATGAGCATTACTCATTACCTAGTGGGGAAAAAAGAGGAAAAACAGGGGTGATCACCTTACAAAAGAGGCCTCTATTTCACATTGCTGCTCTCTCTTGCCTCCAAATGATTTTGATTTATATTAAGACGAATTCTAACTCTAACTTTGTAATTAATTTATTCAGGCCACATTTAAATACTACTCGAGCTATTGGTCAGATAAAAATCAATACAACACTGCCGGAGGAGAGACTGGATTTGACTCAGAAGAAACCAAATTGCATACCTACTGGGACACATCCTTCAACAAGATCTGTCTCGGTATGAAAGTTGGCGGCCAGATGCGATTTGTTGCCCTCAACAAGCAGGCTACTTCTCTGCACTCCCTGATCGCTGATGGACATTACCGCGCCACCTCATTGGGTCGTTCCACCTGGAAGGCACTTATTGGCTCGGAAGCCTCGTTACAGACAAACTGCAACAAGGAAGGATTCAATGCAGGCGGATGTTATGGTGATGGTTGCGCTTTAGTAAGGATCGGTATCGTTTCAAATGAGCAAAATGACTGTGATTCATGTGATTCCAGGATTGGATTTGGCGGTGCCGGGAGCCCTGATGATAGTATTACTTGTGGAAATGGTGCAGGATCCTATCCAGATAACGGTGACAAGCTCATTAAAACCATGGGTTACATCTTAGTGCAGTGAGAACCCCATTAAATTTTTTTCCGATTGGAGAAATAATGTTTATACACTGGAGTGCAGAATTTGTGATGCCGAGTCTTGCGGAATCTGATTTCTTTTGGAAAACTTTGTGAGGAAAGAGTAATTTTGTATTTTCAACTAAGTTTATAACGTAAATTGGGCACCGTAAAGAGTTTAAAAGCTGACGTTTCGCCATTTTTCAGAGCCGTTTGACGAAGGGTTTACGAAAGGCTAACGCTCGAAACGTCAGCTTTTAAATTCTTTACCGTGGCCAATTTACGTTATCAACTTAGTTAATAAAAACTAAATTACCTTGGTATACTCTCCCACCGACGTAGCAACACAGTTTCTTTAGAAACTTACCTCCTTTATTTGTAAAAAGAGTAACAGCGAATTCGAGAGTGTATACTACAGGCAGCATACAATTTATATATTCGCAGTTTTCACAAAGCCTATTGTAACCCTAACAATGATTAAGTTTAATTGATTTTCCTTGAAAAACTATATTCTTTGAGGGACTTATTCTCTATTAACGTTCTTTGATTGTCAAGCTTTAAGGCTGATGTTATACGATAAATGAGTGATGAATGCCTCTTCCACATACCTTGAAATCTGAAGTATAAAATAAATCGTGATCTTCACAATAGTTGGGACATACATGTACATACGACCTGTCTCTCCCTTGGAAACTGTCTATTCCATGAAGTTTTATCTTAAGCATCTCTTTGTATAAACTTCAACAATGTAAGCGAGGAATTAATGAATGAAAATAAAAGGATCGACAATCTCCGAATAAAAATCGTAAAGTGTGTTGGCACACTCAAGATAAAAACATGCTTTGAATTACTACAAAAACAATAGTAATCCTTGTATAACACCGTGGTTTTTACAACAAAATAATTTGACGAACTCAACAAGCAATTCGCAGTTGTTGGTAGGTGATTTTTGGTACTTTATCTTGAATGTCAACGAAAATCATGGCTTTTTGAGATAAACTGTAATAAACACATGGTACGCATAGTAATGATGAAAATTCCAAATTTTTGTTCGATGATAAGCCAACAGGGGCAGACTGCTGGACTGTCTTTTAGTTAAAAGAGAAAACTCATTTGAATCTAAACAACGTCACATAAGTTTTCAAATTATTTTACCAAACACTTAGGAAATTCCGTTTTGCGTGCTTTATACTTACAGGATGACAAAATCAATTAGGATAGGTTTCATAGAAGTTATTACTGGCTGCTGAAATCAATTGTAATGATAATATTTATGGCTTCATGCAAACAAAAAGGATAAACCCCCCGCCTACTTGGTTTTCACCCACTTTGGATAATTTATTTATCTGACCAGAATTGATTTTATTTTTGGTGAACTGACAAGGAACATGTACAAAGTTATGATGAAGAAAAAATTTAGCTGTTGGCCTTAAAAATTCAGGTTGAAGGATTACAAAAGGCGTGCACTGCGTAACTTACGATGTTCTGATATATCATAAGCTATGTTGTCTTTTGCTAGTAGCTTACTGATTTTCCACGGACTCTCTTCCATAATTCCTGCGGCAACCTGTGTTAAAGGTAATTCTTGTTTTCCACTGCTTCCACTGTTGTAAATTACATCTCTTTTACGACTATTCTTTATTCAAATTTTCATTTAGGCATTTTGTCAGCAATATTCAAAACGATCTCAGGCTTGTTTGGCAAGGTAGCATAATTATTATCAAAACATCCAAAGTTTGATTAACAGATTTAATATTCCTAGTGCATTATCGAATGTCTCACTAAAATATTCTCCTATGAATTATGACACAGAGAAAAGATAGCCAACGAAATTTTTTTGAAAAAACAAGCCCACCTTACATATACACTTTACATATTTCAATATTTTTTGTAATTTCGAGTATGAAAAAAGACATTTTCCGCGGAGTAACGTTGGTAAAAACGTGCCAATCTCTAAATATTATCAATAAAAGGTGAGAAGTTGTACTAGTAAACCGAAAATGTTATCTCAACAATTGGAAAATTATGCCCTGGAGGTCTTGCCTTTTGTTTTGAGAGAGGCAATTAAGTTGCCTTCGGTTATTCCAAAAAAGGGTGTATTTTGACGTGGCTAAGGAAGTGATAACAAAAGCTGGTAGGAAGAAAAGCATATAAAATGCTATAGTATTTAAGAGATGTTTCTCCAGAAATCCAAAACTTTCCAACCTGTAAATCGACAGTAAACATTCGGTAATTGAATTTTGGGATATGTTTGTATGGATATCACACTGAGTCCAAAATGTGTATAACTTCTTCATTCAATTCGGAAGTGTAATGGTGGGGGAGAGCGAGGAGGGGCTTGATCTCAACACGGTGTAATAACACATACAGATTTCATATCTATTCCCTTTTGTTTGCGGGTAGCTGTGACGTATGCATCCTATGCATTCGTGAAAAACCAGTTCCATTACCTGGATGCTCCCAGCATTGAGATGTTTATGGTGACTGATGTGTTTGACTGCACGTTTGAATGTCTTCGTCTCCCGTCATGTGTTTCTGTAAATGTGGCGAGCAATAAAGAAGCCCCTGGAAATATTTTTTGCGAGTTGCTGTCTTCTGACAAATACCAAAAGTCTCAGAAGTTTACAGGAAACAAGACTTCGCATCACTTATTTAAAAAGGTAAAGGTTTCAGAAAAACTAGCTGAAAGAAGCCAAATCTTAACAACGATTGCATGCGCAACTATCAGTGCGTTACTCAAAAAAAAATACTGTTTTTTTTTTATCCTTGATTGTTAAGATTTCAACTGAAACAACAGCCTTTAAAACAAATAGACTAACGAAACAAATTAAAAGTGAACCAACAATATAAAAAGAACACAACGAAACTCAACGAAACAAAACGACTGAATGTTTAACGCTAGACGTACTCAGCTTTTTCTGCCAGACAGCAAGGAGAAGCTATAAAAAATTTTAGCGTTTTCAGTTTCCAATTTAGAGCCTGTTTTTATGGATTTAAGGGTAAACTAATGCGTCTATAAGGGAGTAATTCGTCGATCTGTATTATATTTTATTACATCTTGATCACGTTTACATGATAGGTACATGGGGTACCCGCTTTGGCGGGTTGCCTGGTCTGCCAGGCTGCCAGTCTGGTCACCCTGTCAGCTGAGGTCATATTTGTCATGTAAACGTCTCAAGGTGGGGTAATCCGTCTAACTGGGGTCACGTTGATGTTACAATCAAAACCTCGCCAACAACTTTTTGAAACTTCGTCACGGAATCCCGGAGTTGTAAGATTGTAAGTAACACGGGTTAATTCCCAAGCACTCACCTAAATGGGGTCCCCCAACTCCATTTATATAGGCTCTTAGTTGAGTTGCTTCACCAGTAAAAAGCACATACGTTTAAAACATAATCAAACATTCGCATCTCAAGAGGCAATTCATCTATGCCAAGTTCAAACGTGATCACCGTAATCTGTTATTATTTTTCAGTCGCAATGCATTTCCACGCCGTGTCAAAACGGAGGTACATGTTTGGCAAACTATCAGGACGAAACATTCACATGTCATTGTAAAGACGACTTCATTGGAAAACATTGTGAAAACGGTAATGATTTACAACGATGATCTTGCCTAGTGTTTGTTTATTATTATTATTATCATTTTTTTTTTGCACTACATTTTTTAGGGAGGGGGGATGAGTCTTTTCTTTCAATTTTGTTCCCTCGCCAAATGCAATTTTAACTGTTATTTAATCTATTTATTATTATTATTATTATTATTATTATTATTATTATTATTTGTTAGTTAATCTATTCCTATGGATATTGTATATAAACCTATTGGTAATATTACATGTACATTGGTGCTCAGACATAAATATCCTGGTGTGTTGCAAACGAAATGAGCGAGTACCATATAATTATCAAACCAAGAAGAAACAATAAATTCATATCTGCAAACAGAAACGTCATGATTTTATTTAAATCAAATGAATATTTTAAACAAGTTTTGTAAAGAATAAATGCACGTGAAAAGTCAATGGACATACTTATGATATTCCAGAAAACTAAAAAACTTGAAGGTATCTTCTCGTAATAAATCTCATTTTGTTGAAATTTAATGTAAAATCTTCATGTGGATAAAATCAGTTAACATGACAAAATCGCTCTCTTAATCAATACCATTCTAATGAACACACATTAGTTTGGGTATGATGGCCCATACATTACAGCGTTGCACAGAGTCTGGTTAGTTACCGCATATATTAGTTTTTTTCTTTCTTTTTTTGTTTTTTCTAATTTGTTTTTTCGCTTTCCTAATGTTACGTTTTCAATTTCAGGTGCAACGTCTTGCAAACAATTATTTGAGGCATACAAGTGAGTCTAAGGATGCCGTTATTTTTCTTTTACCTCGCCTGAAAAATATATTTTATTTTGCCATGTAGAACACCAGCTGCCTCTATTGGGTCTTAAGAAATAGCACTGAATCGTCTATGTTGGTAGTTAGCATGACAATTTGTTGATAACGTCCATACGAAGCCAAAACCAGAGTTGTATTTTTATAATAAAATTGTTAATTGTTTAACGCTATACTTTCCCAACTTAAAATATATTAGCATGCAACTAATCTTGTAACTGTCTACCAGCTTCAACTCAACTCGAGTGGCCACACTCCGCTTTGGCTTAACATCAGTCTCTGTTTACTGTCATATGGGAGGTTTTGGATGTGGTGATGGGGTGTGGACAACTGTCATGAAGATTGATGGCAGCAAGGTAACTTAAGAGGAAGATCATTTATACTTTTAACATAAACATCAGCACCTAGGAGAAATACAATTCAAACAGCTTTAACGAAGGCTTTTGCTTTTATTCCTTTGAAACCCTATTCTGTATCTGCAGGAAAAATTTTACAATGACCCTTCGTTTATTCATTCATTATCCATTTTTTTATCATCATCATTTTCTACAGGAAGTTTAAGTCAGATCAGTTTCTCACAAGCGTAATTTCTTAGCAGTGTGTAGGTGTCACTAACTTAAATTACTCAAACTACAATAATTAATCTCGGCGCTACCTCCTCCAGAGAGGAGCTCACTCAATTTATAACCGCCGTCAATTCCTTTCATCCGGCTCTTAAATATACCTGGGAAATTTCCGACACTTCTTTGGCTTTTCTAGACATCAAAATTTCAATTGAAGGCAACGGTTTATGCATTCTGTTTACTACAAACCTACAGATGCACATTGTTACTTGTTGTATTCATCTTCACAGCCATCACTCGTCAAGAACTCCATACCCTTTTCACAGTTTCTCAGACTTCATCGTTTATGTGGTGACGACTCTGATTTTTCCGAAAAATCAGAGACAATGTGCCAGTTTTTCGATAAACGTGGCTATCCTGTTTCTGTCGTTCAAGCGGGCCACCACTGTGCCCAACAAATTGACCGACAGTTAGCACTACAAACGGCTGAGAAGGAAAACACTGACCGCATTCCGTTTACTCTTACATTTCACCCTCACAACCACGCAGTTAAATCTATCATTCTTAAAAAATTTAAATTACTCCAAAAAGATTCAGAGACTGGCACTATCTTTTCGCAACCCCACTTATTTCATTCAAACGTGACAAAAACATAAGCAACTTTTTTAGTTAGGAGTTCATTTCAAACCAATGACTTTCAAATGCACTCGCTCACTATGCAAAACTTGTTCCATTATTCATAACATAGAGAAAATATGGCCTTTCCTTACATCTAGGGAGTTCGGAAAACCGCAAAACACCAGAATAAAAATTTATTTTCCAAATCGGCACCCTTAATCCCCACGGAATCAACGAGCGCTTTTCATTCAACTAATTTATTCCTGTTTTCTCGTCACCATATTCCACCAATGGCGTAGCTCCACTGTCTGCATCTAAACCCACACACAACCCACAATTCCTCCAATCGCTCCGACGAAGGGCTAACGCTCGAAACGTCAGCTTTTTTACCCTTTACGGTGGTTAATTTACGTTTTCAACTCAGTTGTTAACACTGAATTACCTGTTATACTCTCCCACCGACGTAGCACCACAGTTTCTTTAGAAACTTACCCCCTTTCTACAATAATTAATGTTTTGAAACCATTCATACACAAGTGCGTCACTCTTGTTTGTTTTTCTTATGGACATCATTGTAAGAAGTTTTTGAAATGTGAATCAGCCATCTCAGAATAGAACTGTTCAGTAACATCCCGCAAGCGACATAGAGATCAGTAGATGTTAAAGCAGCATTTTCATGCATGAAACCTAAAAATTTTATCCACCTGATACCTCAGTGTTGTTTTAAATATATTTGTTATAATCAGAGCACCTTCCACTACGACTCAGTCTACTGGGGAAATACAGATGCATACAATCCTCCTGGAGGAGCGACAGCTTTTGACACGCTTGAGACAAAGATACCGACGTACTGGAACACACCCTTCACTAAGATCTGTCTCGGTATGAAAACTGCTCGACACATAAACTTCGTCATTATCAACAAGGAGGCCAACTCTTTGTATTCACTGATCGCTGACGGTAGTTATCGCTCCACTTCATTGGGTCGAGACGCATGGAAGTCTCTGATTGGATCCCAAGGATCTCTCCAGTCTTACTGTAATAAAGAAGGCTTCAATACAGTATGCGGCAACGCCTGTAGAGCCAGAATCGGTGTTGTCTCTAACAACGAAAACGCCTGCACAACCTGCGACTCTAGAATTGGGTTTGGTGGAGGAGGACGCCCCGAAAACTCCAATACGTGTGGAAACGCAAATAATGACATACTAGCTATGTGTTACATCTTAGTGCAGTAACTTAAACATCTTTCCACCTTAGTAACGACAAACCCTTTCATCAAAGGGAACTAAGTATTATATTTGCATTTCCTGAGGAAGTACTTAATACCATTTTATGTTACCAATGCTTAGTCCATCCTCAGCACGTCAGCAGTGAGGGTTCATAAAGTCAATATTCACAACGGAAATGATAACCTTAAGTCTTGAGACAGCTAATGATATTTAATGTTCTTTTACCTCACAACTATAAATAGCAACAACCTTGTTTCTGATTTTAATGCATTCCTTGTAATTTTGTATTATGGTTTTTGTTTTTGCTTTCGTTTTTGTTTTTGTTTGTTTGTTTGTTTTTTTAAATTCATTTCAGCCCCTGGACGTCAGTCCGCTTTAGATGAGATAGAAGTAAAGCTTTGTCGTTAGTAAAAAAGGAAGGGGTAGGGGTTACTTTTGGCCCGGCATTTCTGTAGGTCACAAACATTATTAATACGAAAGAATGAATATTATTTGTTATCATCTATTTTCTCTCCTTTTCTTTCCTATTTTTAATGGATGTTATATCACCGAGTTAATGTCATTAAAACCTAACCTCAGCAAAAAATTAAGGAAGGTTCAAACTATATGAATATAGCTGAAATATATCTATGCGTTATATGGACGTGAAAGATAAACCTAAAAGCAAAGTATGATACAGAAATGATGAGACAGGGCCACTGCACTGCTTGATTCTTGAAGAATGTAACAAGCGTCTGTCACTTTTTGCAAATCTTAAGGCCTCATACACTTAGAAAGCAAAATTTTACCTGGTTATCCAATTGTTTCCTCTCTCAGGCTTGTACAATAAGCTGCTAAAAAGTCACGAAAGAACAATTTCATTAGAGCAAAAAAATACTCACCCTGTTCTCTCTTACAAGCCATAAGACCATTAAACATTTAAGAAGTGAAATGGTGGGATAATAAACTAATATTTATAGGAAATATGCAGTAAAAATATTTTAAGGAGTTGATAACAATTTAGAGATCAATGAGGAAAAATATCAGGAACACCAGGCTCGATCCTGGTCGAGTTACAACAGGTACTATATCCGCGGTAAAATATGAAGATGTGTTTAAGAAGCTGAAGTCTCATTTTTAGCAGCCCAATTTGTTAGAAAAAGATCACAAATTGCTGATGAATAATTTGACATAAAATTTTTTTGCCACCAATTTCAATGAAACATATAACAAACGTGTGGGGGCTACTATCCACCAAACATTACGCGTTTTAATAAAGGTTTAACACTTCACTGATATGTTTGGTCAAACTTAGTCTTTCCGTGCATCATGTCAAAACACATTTCCATCACAAGTATGCTATAGTGTTGTTTAGACATTTCCAAAGAAACCATGAGAGTTTATTTTTAGTTGGCAATCACTTCCTTTATTTTGTAAGGCGAGACAAGATGCTGGTCACGACCAGAACATTGGCGTTATAAAACACGGCTTGCGTGACATCACATTTAATTTTCTCATGTTGCATTCGGTTTCGCTCCTACGAAGGGAAATCATTGAGGACACCTGCCGAATTGGTGGTCCAAAACGTTAGCGCACTGCGTTTTCAGGCAAAGTCAGTTGTTCGAAGGGCTGGAGAATATCGGTGGAATTTCGAACCGTTTACTTATGAGCACGATGATGCAAAAGCGATTCCACACCTAATGAACAACACGAATTTTCGAAAGAAACAAATAGTGAGCTGACGATAAAGGGAGAAGCATTTAAATATGTTTTGTATCGCTACTTACTCAGTTTTTACCCTTATGCTGTCTGAAATAATGCCAGGAGTAACATGCGAAAGAGGTAAGGATTACATTTATTGTTTTCAATTTACTCAGTTCTGAAATATTCCTTCATTGAAAAGGGAAAAGGAGAAAAGGAGTGAATGATGGAGTGAGACATACTGTTGTTAAAAATGTCATGCCTCACTCTAATTTTTTTTTCAATTACTGCTAACACTGGATTATGGATTGTATCAGCCCTCTCAATTTCAACGAAGAAGTACAGCAAATCTTACTCTTTCATTATTAAAGTTGTCTCTAAGACGTTTTCCATTACAATTATGGCACTAACCGGACCCCCCGTTATGAAATTAATATCATTGCTCGATAAATGTTGCTATACGCAAGAGACCTAAGAACAGGACAACCACGAAACAATTTGGCTGAAAATTTAACCTTAAGAAAAATGCAAAATCAAAGTTATCTTTATCCTCTTCACTTCAACTTAGTTGCGGGGAAAAGCAAACCGACCAAATTCATGGATATTTTATGCAGAATATCCCTTTGAAATATTCATGTGTGTTTTAAAATTTGAAGAGTGTGGTAAATTGCATTAGTGTTTTATTAGAGTAAAAAGGAAGACAGTTCTAGAAAGTGCTTAGCATTGATATTCTGGGGAATGTATCTCTATGCGAGCTTTCTCGGAAGAAATTACAAAGGTGAAATGCTTTGATTCAACCTCGAGTAAAAAGGTCACAACTCATGCCAGTAAACTCATGACCTACTTTTCTTTGTAGGACTAAATCTAATGATAACTCTTTTGAATAATTATCTATGGGATGCCTACCTCCAGCGATTGTTTAAAACTAAATTGAGTTCTTGTTTTGCGTCATCTAGTGATCTAGAATTTGCTAAGACAAAACAAATTTTTCTTATTTTTATTTTATGAAAACGTGTAACCAATTTCTAGTTTCTTTCTCAAAGTTAGTCATAGCTTTGATTAATAGATAACAGGACTTGGCGTCGTCCAATTCTGTCTGTAATCATACGAGTGATTAGAAAGGTCATACATTAACAACCAAAGGTACTTTGACCTTATACGAACAGCCTCGTAGGTTAATTTAAGTTTCAGCAGATAGGCTTCTCTTTCATTGAAAACTATAAATAAACGTTGGTTTAGTTAATAATTAGTTAGATGATTGAATGGGAGTTGGAAGGAAAGAAAATCGAAAGGAAAGGACGAAAGGACGAACGGACGAACGGACGAAAACGGTGCATGGTTGAATGGATGTGAGGAACCCCTCATAAACGCTACTAGTGTCCTTATTTCTATATTCTATTTAGTCAAAGATAAATGATATTGAATTTAATTTATCTTATAGTTGTTACAAATATTTCCCATGCTTTCATGAAAAACGAGCTTCATCACCTGAGTGTTCCTTCGAGCCGGACGTTTTTGGCGACAGACGTCTTTGACTGCACTAGTCAATGTCTTCTTCTTCCTTCATGCGTCTCTGTTAACCTAGCGCGGAACACAGTAGCCGACGGGAAGTACTGGTGCGAATTACTGTCATCTGATAAATACTTAAACTCTCAAGATTTTAAAGGAAACCTGACGTTTCATCATCTATTCAAAAAGGTAACTCGACTTTGAAAACGAAGAGCGAACTGCTTTTCAAGATAGGCTTTGTATTAAACGAAATGAATCACATGTCAGACTGATTTTAAAATGAGTCCTTTAATTAAATGATAATCAATTAGCAGCTGATCGTTCTTCGCATAGTTCAGAGAAAAGCTTTAGCATAATATAGTGCCGCTGAGTTTTCTGATTTTTTGACGGCAGTTTTTGTTGCATCATCTCTTAGATTTTGTGCATAGATGGCCAAAAATTAAATTAAAAAAATTCACTTGCGATCATTTTATCCTATTTTCGTTGTCAGTCAAATTGTATCTTCACGCCGTGTCAAAATGGAGGAACTTGTGTGGCAAAGTATCAGGACGACACCTTTAACTGTCTTTGTCTAGAGGGCTTTATTGGAGACTATTGTGAAACAGGTAATGAATTAAAACAGTTTGAAATATAGCTGTGATAATTCTATGCTAAAGATGAGCATTGCTGCTCATTTTGTCGTTTTTGTCCTTGTGGCTGTTGTCTCTTGCACTAATTCCAGAATAAACTAAATCGCAGGTGCCAAGTCGTGCAAGCAGCTCTACGAAGCAAAAAAGTAAGTCACAAGTTATTACATTTTCATTCGTTTATTTCCCTCCTTTTAAGATTGATCTTGAGTGTGGTTTCTAGCATTCTGGAGACAGGTTTCCCTTCCTACTGCTCTAAACACGAATAGCATCCCAAACATATTCCAAAGATAATGTTTCTTCATACAATTTTGTTGCTTTAATGGTTTCAATTCGATTGGGAATTCCTGATAATTGTACGTAACATCTCTACCAATAGTAGTTTATGCTGGATACATAGCATTATGAGAATATGGTTAGCGTTGAGTTATAGTCTGATTATCCATAAGGTTTGACACAACTCAGGTGGCCACCCTACGATTTGGTTCAACACCTACTTCTGTTATGTGTCACTTGGGAGATTTTGGGTGCGGGCCTGGGGCATGGACAACCGTGATGAAGATTGATGGCAATAAGGTAATTGACAATGATGGACGCTCAGTGATATTTCGTTATCCAGTCAGACAAGTAATGTTAATGAGAATAAGATGGGCATACTGCGATTAAGATAGGCAAATTTGATATTTAATTGAAACCAAGCTAATATTATCGTGTCAGTGGACACTAGGAAGTGACTAAGAGACCAAGACCAAGAGACTAAGGAGTTGAATTACATACAAGTCTAAAAGGAAAGTATTGACACAAACCAAAACATCCTAAATCGGCGCGATTTTCAGTAATTTTGTTTGTCATTTTCCTTCTTTTAAATGTATATCGTTCGTTCCTTAATTATTTTAGAACACCTTCCACTTCGACTCCGCTTACTGGAGTGATACAAATGAATATAACCTCAACGGAGGTTCAACGAGATTTGACACACAAGAAACCAAACTGCCAACCTACTGGAATACGCCTTTCTCTCAAATCTGTCTTGGTATGAAGATCAACGAGCAGCTTAATTTCGTTGTCCTTACCAAACAAGGTAGCTCTCTGTTCTCACTAATCGCTGACGGGTCTTACCGCGCCACTTCACTTGGCCGTAACACATGGAAATCACTGCTTGGTTCTGAGGGCTCTTTACAGATTGCGTGCAACAGGGAGGGCTTTAACTCAGTGTGTAATACATGTAAAGTGAGAATTGGAATCGTCTCCAATAACGAGAACAGCTGCGTAGGTTGTGATTCAAGGATTGGTTTTGGTGCAGGTGGACACCCGGATGATTCCAGCACATGTGGTAACGCAGCTACTTGGAGCCCTGACAATGGAAATAGAAACATAAAAGCTATGGGCTACGTATTAGTTCAGTAAAATGCAAATTGTTGACATGCACTACCAGTGAGGTCGAAATAAGTAGAGCTTCTATAGGTGCAAATGTCTTTTTCCGATTTGTGAAGCTTCCTTCAGGAAAAATAGTTTATTCGCTTATCTTTTTTAATTCAATTTATTTTATCCATTTTTTTGTCAGACATTGCAAATATCAGTGCACGTTTCAGGATAGAATTGAAAAATCGCAAATATCGGTGCACGTTTCTGAATATAATTATAAAAAGCATCGGAAGAATGATCATGCACCCTTGAATAAAATCATAATTATACCGACGACTGATGAGGCATAGATTGTTTTAATTCCAATTAATATTTTTTGTATGATAAATAGGTTGAAGGAATCACCACCCTCAAACATCACAGTTATCCAACACCAGTTAGTGAGGCGCCTAACTTAGCAAGCCTATGTAGGTTGTTTTTCAAAGCTAGATAAAAGATAAAACTGATTAGTGGATACTAAAATAATTGATAGCGTTGAAGAATTTACGGTCACTTCGCCGCCACAACAAATTCAACAAACTAAACTGTCTAATAAATAAGTCGAAGGAGTCTCCCCATCAAAATAAGCCACCGATGGCGATTTGACTTTTCCGTCAAGTGTCTGTCGTATGAAACTTACATCGAATGAGAGCTAAGATGTAATAGCATATTGCGAATAGGGAAAGGGACTCAGAAGTTATGTGCAGCCTGTCAATTGAGGAACGTTAACTTTAAAATGAAATAAAACTTGTTGATATTAGGAAGATTATGATCAGTTGGCGTAAAGCCTAAGATGTGCGACAAAAAGCGCGCACGAATACAGCGAAGTTTACAGAAACAGATTTAACGTCTTTTCTTTGTTTCAAATAATGACGACGTAACATTTAACACAAGTTTTGTCCTTACAGGCAAAACCTTGGTAGGCGATTTGAGGTTAGAAGTTAGAAGTTTCGACATTTTCAACTTTTTTATATCGACATGAGCTTTCACCTGAAAATCAGATAACAAACAAAATGTGCGCCGCCATCTTGAATGGATGGAATAGGCGGATGGAATTCCTTCATTTCAAACACAAAAATGTGCCTAAAAATGAAGTTTTGTAGCGCTTCAAACAGATGAGCCAAAAAGGAAAAGATCTCATCTCACATATTTTTACAGGACAGGACACACGAAGGACCTCTCGAACGAGAAGAAGAGGAGCGCCTTCGGAGCGAGTTGACCTAGCCGAAACTGCGCATGCTTTGGTCGGAGTTCAAACATGGACCGCAAGAGGCGAACGTGACTGCTGACGTTTTGTCACGTGATCCCTTGTAGCCTGCGGTCACTTACATTCAGGAACAAACGTGGGTCTAGAGATCTTCATTATCCACAGGAATTAACAGCAAAAATTCCCCGAATATCGAGGATTTATTTAGATCGCTAAGAATAGACACAGACGATGATTTTAAAAAATCTGTTTTTGAAAAATCATCCCCTTCCAAGGCCAAGCCTTCAACTGTGGTGCATTTCCAATTCTTTTGATTATGTCAACAGGAAATTATCTGACAAATTATTAAGTGCAGTGAGTTCTTTCAAACCCCTCCCTCCATGACCCGCGTTTGTGACATGGGAGTTGACTTGTACTTGCGGGATAAAACGTAATGCCTTACTTAAAACCAGCATACAATTGTGTATCTCCTTCATAGTTTATATTGACGCAGTAAATTACGAAGATCTGAAGAGTTCGAAATTTCTGGGAGTTGAGACTTTATATTTTGCCACAAAAGATGGCTTATCTACATAGAGTTAAGGTACATATAACTAATAGCTAACTTGTCGTACTTAACGGCTCGTTTGTGTTTTGCAAATTACGGGTCAAGTCCTGAGAACGTATAAACTTGGGAGAGAAACAGAAGCGTTGTAACTGAATGTATATGCATAAAATTCCTTAGTAAACCTAATAAAAAGGTTTTTTGCCATATTTCCGCTGATTATAGATAAAATCTTACCATTAACCACAGTGTTTACACTTTTTATTTTCACCAAAAGTGACCAAAAAATCCATCGCTGAGCTATTTTTGGCAGTTTGCGCTCAGAGTGGATGTAACTCCATCCATCCTGATTCGGGACGATGATCGGTAGCTTTGAAACTACTTTATTTAAAGCATTGTTCAATAGAGTTCACTTTTATTAAGCTAGTGACGATTTTAACCTATACCTATGAGGAAAAGTGACTTTTACCTCAAGTTTTACACTATGTCTTACTTATTTTGTGTTTTAAATTTTACTTTTTAGGAAATTCCTGGGTTTCAATGATGAATTTTTTTTTTCCTGAGAAGCCCATTCTATACACTTTAAAATGACATATTGTAGGTGTTATTCCTGTAAATATTTGTTGAGATATGAATTAAAAACTGAATGTGGACAAATTTGTGCGTTTTTTAACTGCTGGTGTTGGGTTAATCTTAAAAGTCAAACTTGGTAAAGTTATGTAATACATTTCAAATTGATTCTAATAAATAAGTTTCACTAATCTGTCGCGACAAGTTGAGTGAAGTGAACTATTGTTTGCAAGCAGGAAAAAAAAGGTGTTCTACGTTCGTTACAAACCACATTACCCGTTTATTTACAAGCTTTTCAACTCTTGACTAAACTTTCCTAAAATCTAAAATCAGATTCAGCAATGTACTCAAGTCTTTTCGTGTTCTAGATTTCCAGAAAAAAAGGAATCATTTTAAGATAAATTACTTGTTGGCCTCTCGTCGCGGTTCATAATAGGTTGCACATGCCTCTCGATGTCTTGAAGCAGCGTTTTAGTCTTTTTTCGTTATTTATCGGTGTCGGTGCTTCAGTTGCTAAACTGCTAAGCAAATCGGTATTTACGTATCTAGTTGAGGGGAACGGAGACAGTTGGTGAGTTTCTTTCCTCTGTTTGCTGTCGTGATAAGTTTGGTGTTGGTTTTAAGACAATAAATCTGAATTCTTTGGTGCCACTAAGAGCACCCAAACACATATGGACACCCGATGGTATTCGCTTTATGGACTGAAATTTGTTATGTTTGCTTTAATAGGCCAGCGTTCAAAATCATGTATCATTTGGATTGTATTGTAACGTCCAAACATTTGCTGCAAAATTCAAGGAAATTGCCATCAGAAAATTCTCTCGCGTAAAGTATATTAATGATTCCTAATCCTCTACTAACAGATTTAATCTTAGGAAAAATATCTTAAATAGTGAACAACCTAAGCCATAAGGCAGTAAATATCTACGGTGAAGTGGTTATTGTTCTTTTTTCTCAAATCAATTTTGTTGTTTTACTGCACCAAAATATATCCCATTGCTTTGATTTTACGGTTCCCGTTATCTGCCTCCCATTGTCCAGCAGCTTCATTTCCACAAGTGTTAGAGTCATCAGGACCTCCCCCCATACCAAAACCGATCCTGGAATCTGGGGATTGACAATGAAGTTCATTATTACCCAAGATGCCAATTCTTGTTTTTGATGCTGCAAGCTGGCTCCATGAATTAAACCCTTCCATGTTGCAGTGGAGCTGTAAAGATGCCTGTGAACCAACCAGTGTCTTCCACGTGTCACGACCCACTGAAGTTGAGCGGTATTGCCCGTCAGCGATCAATGAGTACAGAGAGTCTGCCTGCTTGTTAATAACAATGAAGTTGATCTGTTGGCTGATATTCATACCGAGACAGATCTTGGAGAAGGATGTGTTCCAGTAGGTGATTAACTTGGTCTCCTGTGAATCAAACCCAGTGTCTCCTCCAGATGGCATGTATTCAACTTTGTTGCTCCAATACGGTGAATCATAATGAAATGTTCTCTAAAAAATACCAGTGAAAGTTGCTCATTTCTTTTATTATCTATATGAAAGATGAGCTCTATACATCAACTTAGGTAGCCAGTAGGAAATCAAATATTTGCTTTCGTCCTTTTCTGTCCTTATCCTTAGAGTCTATGTTATTACACCTAGATCTTTAAGACCTATCAAGCCGTTTGGTTCTATCATTCATACATTCACTCACATTACTCTGAGGGGAACATTCTTTCTCCCCCTCTGCAACCGATGGGTTTGCACAATCTAGCTGTGAGGGAACGGTAAGCTAGTGAAAAACTCAAAAAAGGCAATTTATGACGATCCAACCTTGTGTCCATCAATCTTCATTACTGTTGTCCACCCTCCATCGCCACATCCAAAACTTCCCATATGACAATAAACAAGAAACGCTTTTGAGTCACGGTATAATGTTACCATTCCACTTGAAATCGACCTGTTAAAATTAAGTGAAGCGCAAGTGTGATAGGAAGGAAAGGAATAAATGCATACGGAGATTTTAGTTAAAGTAGTGCAAAAAAAAAGAAAAAAATTGTAGTTTAATTTAGCGTGTACAAGTTTGTATTAAAGGTTTCGGTCATAGCAATTAAAACTCTAAAAGAATACCTCTCTTATTTGTTTTATTATAAGATATCAAGAATCGTTTGGTCACCGGGAATACCGACAGTAGTTTCATCTGCTAATAAATTCCTATTTTACAGTTTTCCTTTTTTCGCCTTTGCCTTTTTTTTTAATATGACAAAGATATTGCAGATAGTTTATTAATATGTAAATCTGCTACTCACGTGTTCCTCTCAAACGCCTCTTGACAAGTCGAAGCTATAGAAGATAAGACACCAAATTTATCTGACGTGTTTTTTCTTTCTTAGTCAATGCTATAAAGCTGAGCTAGGACATAAAAGCGTCACCAATTACTCTGTTAGAAAAGAAAGTTCCAAAAACATTGCAACCCCTGCTCACAGCTAAATTCCAATACCCTTTGTTGAGCTCAGTCATTCAAATCATCAACTGTTTTCTATTCCGTCTCTGATGACTCTTTTGGTCGCCTTAGTGGCATGGGTGATGCATTAAAAAGTAAAGTTTTTACCCATCTTTGTGCAATTCTCCCCATTGAATCCAGCTTTGCAAGGGCACTCGTATGATCCTATGGTATTGCTGCAGAGAGCATTATCACTGCAATTGTATATTCCCTCGGAACATTCATCCACATCTCAAAGGCGTAAACAAAAAAATAAAATTGATAATTTTGATAATAATAATACTAACACTATTGAAAATAATAGTAATAATAATAATATTGAGGACGATGATGAAATGATTGTGCGTGTGTATTTAGTTAGGCCTGTTTGCTCATCTCGAATTTAAAAGGCGAACAAGAACAGGACTTCATGCTCAAACGTAGACGCTGATTTCAACGTAAAGACAACAGCACAAAAAAAGTAATCATATCTCATAGTCATATTTTATTTGTACCTTCGTCACAAGTCGGACCCTTAAATCCAGCAGGACACAAGCATCGATAACCCTTGTCAGTAAAACCGCTTTGACAAGGGGCGTTGTTCTTGCAAGGACTTTCAAGGCAAGCATTCTGACAAAGAGGAAGTTAATAGGAAGTAATGTATCAATGATAATGAAAATTAACATTTACAGCATCATAGTTATCACCATCATCATCAGCAGATAAATGAATGAACGAATTTTCAGCCAAACTAAGCATGTTCTCCTACATCGAAATTTCAATAAAAGACATTACCTCGGCAGCAACATGAAAAAAATTTTCATCTTCTTTCCAGTCGTCTTCGTGTCTCTCATGAGTAATATCATTCAGCTCACATTTGTACTTTTCATTTCCATCCGTTCGTTTATCAAGATTAAAGCTGACGCAGTAAGGTTCCATAAAGCACTCCGCTTCACAGAACTTCTTGACTGTGACTTCAGCTATGCGAATTACATGATTCACCAGTCGTTTCCCGTCAAAGGTCTCCTTTGCCTTAAAATCCAAGTGACGGCAACGGTCTTCATCTGCTGAACACATATATTATAAAAGTGGTGAATACAGTAGAACCCCGCTACCTCAAACTCCCAGGAGAAACGGAAAATGTTTCGAGTTAGCGAGGATTCAAGTTATCGGGATCGGTGTCGAATTTCAACTATCCTGCTTTAACAGGATAGTTGAAAATTTTAGTACATTAAGTTTGCTTTATAAGAGTTCTTTATTTTTCCAATAGGAACATTTGGTTTGTGAAGTTAAGCTCAATGTATTACGTTTCCATATATGTTCTTACGTTCATATCAATGTGTATTTAGGTTGGGACGTGCTTAGCTATGTTTTGACGCTGTCACATTATCGACCGACGTTTTATCTCTCATAAGGTTCGAGTAAATTTTAGGGTAAATTTAGGCCAAGAAAAATAAAATCAGTTCCAGTTGATTAGGGGGTTCGAGTTAACAGACTTGAGCTAGCTAATAGTAAATGCTTGCAAAACTGGAGTCAAATCCAAGGGAAATCAAATCTTGTTTGAGTTGGCGGGGGGTCTCGAGTTATCGGGGTTCTACGGTATTCCATGACTTGGTAATTGCACTACCTTTACAGTAAAATGGAACAATAATTTGCATTCAATCGGCTGTAAGATGAAAGAATGGACTTTCAATCTCTAAGTCCGAGCTTGTATATCAGAAACGTTGATTGCGGCATGAAATGTGACTGACCCGGTAATCCGTCAGAATTGTTTGAGATATGAGCAATAAAGCATTCCCACCATTTTCAAGAAAATGTAAAATTCTTTTCTTCTTTGTTGTTTTGTTTATTATTGGAATACTCGACAAAAATAAACCTAGTTGAGTCAAAAAAAAAATCCCCCACATCTATAACCTACAAGTACAAATCCTGAAATATGATGATGTCCTTGTTTCTAAAAAAGCTGCGAGGGTGAATGACTTCTTGTTTGCTGTAAGTGACATTCCCAACAAGGACGACAACATTGAAAATTAGAGATTAAAATTTTATCTCAAAAGCTGAGTTAACTGGAAGGGTTTCTACTCACAGGACGAAATCATATGTTTCCGTATTTCTGAAACGTGGCGGAAACATGCAACTCCATGTTTCCGTTATGTTTAACATGCACAAAAAGTGGTCCGGTTCCGCAGCAACGGAAACGTGGAAAACGTCACGAAACCGGTAACGGAAACACAGGTTATCCGTCGTGTTTCCAGAACGGTTTAACATGTTTCTGCCACGTTTCCGTTTACGGATTCTTGCAATTTCGTCCTGTAACTATTGTTAAGTTAAACACTGCCGTGAATACTCAATATACCGAATAGCTACCAATAAAGGCAATCTCCTCACTCGAAAGGAAAACCCAGCAAAAAAGCTAATAATTCTAATTTGTTAAGTACATTAAGAACAGACCTTGTGATCTTGCAATCATGGGTAATAGGATGAAGATCTCCAAGGAAATAAAACGAACACAGATGATGTCCATGACCCAAATGTTGGTCAGAACCCTTTTTTTTAAGATATCATGCAAATTAGATATGAACTCCACCTTTCTGCTGCTATCCAAATTACTACTTTGACCGCAAAAAATCGGAAATAATGCTTCTGGAATTTACTTTGGTTTTTTGTTTTGTTTTGTTTTGTTTTGTTTTTTCATGTGGTCAGCGAATTAGCTACCGGCCTCCCCATAGGCATCTTTAAACACCTGCTTACTAGAGTGCAATAAAAGTTAATTAGATATCCCCCACAAATTATATCATCAACGAAGTTTTGGAAAAGATGAACAAATGTATGAACGGTTTCACAGGTTAATTTAGTGTTGTCAACTGAGTTGAGAACGTGAATTGGCCACCGTAAAGACTTTCAAAGCTGACCTTTCGAGCGTTAGCCCTTCGTTCTGACGATAGCTAATTTATGTTATCAACTCAGTTGATGATGCTAAATTACCTTGTTATACTCTCCCGCCGACGCAGCACCACAGTTTCTTTAGAAGCTTACCCCCTTATTGATATGGACTGTTTGGTTTTGTTCGATTTAACATTAATTAGGATGCCAAGTATGGGTGTTATTCTAGGTGATAGAAGCAACTTCTTGTTAGGACAATTATGGGATAGAATATGGCTAACGTTTATTCAACAGTTAACGGAAATTGTGACGATGATCATTTCCGATATTCTTCTTTGCAATTAGTCTCGGTTTGTATCCGATATATTCAGCTATCTTAACAGGCAATTAATAATTAATAGAGTAGCGTTCCCCCTGACTTTGCTTTGACTTCACAAAGTTTTAACGAGAGAATTTATATTTTGTAGGTAATAAACCATCAATGGCTATTCTTAGGTGTCAGAACCTTTTCAGTATCGTTCCTATTAACAGAAAAGGATCAGTTTTGAAGCTCTTAACATTCGTTGGCAAAGTACTTTGCCTGAACAATAACAACAGCAGGCGACGACACCACGGGGATAAAAAAGGAATCAAAACAAGCCAAAAACGATTAAATATGCAGATCCCATCTTAACTCGAAAATCTGAGATATAAATCCCTCTTATTTATATTTTAACACTGATGTTCGATGAACATTGGTAATAAGCGCTCAAGGTAAATGTTTAAGGTGATAAGGACGCCAATAATAAGGATTTAATCATTTTTCACAATAAAGGTAATGATAATAATAAAGATAATTACAATGACAATGTCGATGGTAATGAATTTAGTTCTATAAAGCGAATCATATTATGCTTGAGCAAAAACAACTATTTAATCTTTAATGCTTATTCATCGCATTTCACACAATAAAGTTCAGCGAAGGGCGGCACAAGACAATTGATCATGATCCTGATGGCTAAAGGCATCCCAAAAAAAGAAGGTGTGTTTGGTCACAAAATAAAGATATTGAAACAAGAGGACAAAAATTTAACATCAATTCCTTTGTAGAGACATTTAAATCCAGCTCCTTCTTTACAGAGTGAAATGGTACTAATATTGAGCTTTGCCACTACATCACATCATAAAGGTTTTAAAAAAATTCTGTATTTTCAGCAATTAAAAAGTATTGTAATCGTCACCTCCCATGTTGTTGTAATAAGAGCCTCCTTCTGCACCAAAGCCAAGTCCGGAACTGATTCGCAGTCCAATCCCATTATTTGGCATCAGACCAATCCTTAAGCAACCATCGCTGCACACTGAGTTACAATATATTGGTTGAAACTTAACAAGGCACAAACACGAATATAAAAAAGAGCGAAAAAAATTAGAAATAAGTAAATTGCAAATTACAACCTACAGTGTACAAAAGTAAAGAAATTCAGTTGAAAAAGTTACAAATTTACAAATGTATAGTGTAAAATATGTACATCAACTTAAGTATCCTATTGTGTTAAATTTTCAAATAACTGAAATAATTATATATTAGACTTACTATAAAGAGTTCTGATTGGTCGATGGCATTCTAACAGTATAGTATGGCGTG